ACCACTGGACATGGGAAGCCGTGGGAGCCTCGATGTGGGGCTGGCTTCTGCCCAGCCGGCAGTCAGGGACTGTGGGTTGCTGGGTGCATTAAAGTGCTTTGGGGAAGATATTTGTCAACGACCCGCCGCTGATTCTTTCACTCCTTCACTCTCACGCACAGGCTTTGGCTCCTCCTGTCCAGCCCCGTTCGTGTTTCCCATTCACAGAGGCACAGGGACGTTTAAGTTCCTCCCCTTGTACCCTAATACTAACATGAGGTCACACATTCTGAGCTGGACCCTGGATTGGAGCTGTTTTGATTCAGCTGAAGTCCTGCCTTGTGCATTGTCAGCCACCACTGTCCTGCTCCCCTGCACTTGTCCTCAGTGTGCCCCAGTGCCCGCCCCACCTCGGGCCCTGGGTGGGGCCCTTAGTCACGTGTCCCAAGGACCATTCCACCACCGGAGCTTTGTCTGTGGCTTTGCTTCATGGACCACTGTCCTTCAGCCCGGACTGAGCTGAGCAAGACAAGAATGATCAAAGCGGGGTGGTCCGGGCCTCAAGGCGGGTGGGAGTACTTGGTGGGCAGCCCAGAGTTCAGTATGAGTTCAGAGTTCTTTCTCCTTGTGGCCACAGGCCTCTGGGGGAACTACCCCTGTCTAGCCTCTTATGAAGGGGCGTCTACTTCAGCTCCCCCTCCTCAGTCAGCACATTCCTTAGAACAGCACCCAAGAATGAGTTAGATTAGCCAGGCGTGGTGGCACACTCCTGTAATCCCAGCACTCAAGAGGCTGAGACAGGAGGATTGTTGCAAGTTTGAGACCAGCCTGTGCTACAAAGTGAGCTCAAGGCCAGCCTGCACTGCGTAGTGAGACCCTGTCTCAAACAGACCAAAAAAAAAAAAAAAAAGGATGAGCTAGAACAGTCATAGCGAACCTATGGCGTGTGTGCTCTTACCACGGAAAACTCTAGAAGGTTCGCCATTGCTGAGCTAGAAGATCTGAGTGGAGATCACTTGAATCACATGGGAGCACATCTGTCTTCGTAAAGCTGATGCCGCTCGCTGCTCTGGGCCTTCTCCATCATCCTATTCCCTGGCCTGGCATGCTCAGACCTGCAAGAGCCACCAGGGACATCCCAGTAAAGGCCCATCCCAGGGATGTGAGCAGTTAGTGTGTAGCCCTATGCACTCTGCCATCGCTACCGTGAGAGCTTAGGCAGATCCCCGGGCGCAGTGAGGAGACCTCTACCTTGCTGTTGGCCAAGAAAGCAAAAGGCCTAGGGAGTATTTATGGAGAAAGCTGTCCATGGAGTGTAACTGTTAGACTTTTGGAAAAGTCTGAGAGTTGGGCTGAGATTTTCTGTCACAAAAGCCAGTGCTGGAGGATGTGTCTATGTGGGTTGCATGGGCCAAGGAGGCACTAGGATGGTTACACTTACTGTCCTAGGAAGTGGCAGCAGAGCTTCGGTCACTGGCCCTGGCCTATGTCACACTGGATTTAGCATGGTAGCAGGTCACCTGCCCAGATCCCACAGCCCCCTGGGGAGCAGCCATGGGCTTGGTGGGGGCTCTTCACCCTGCATATGTGCTCTGGCTCTCTTTTTTGCAAGACACACACACACACACACACACACACACACACACACACACGCCATCACTACTTCTCTTCCTTCTTCCAGTTGAATCCAGGGATACTCTACCACTGACCTATATCCCCAGCACTTTTTATATTTTATTTGGAGACACGGTCTGGCTAAGCTTCCCAGGCTGGTCTTAAATTTGCAATCCTTCTGCCTCTGCCTCCTGAGTAGCTGGGATTACAGGCCAGGTCATCCTACCCAGCTGTTCTGTGCTTCTATTCCTCCCCTTTCTGCTGTTCAGGACATCAAACCACTGCCTCAGGGACGTGGATGATGCAAGATCACTCTCCCTGAGTGTTATTGGTGTTCTGGTCAGTAGTCAGCCCCTGAGCACTTCGGGCCCCCCTGTGCCCTGCAGATTCTCAGCTTCCTCGTAGTTTAGCATCTATTCTGGTCAGGGTAAGAAGGGGAGGATCACAGATAAGTGTGTGTACCTAGGACAGTAGTCACGTAGGAGTGTGGGATTTTACTCTTTGGGAATCAGAGGAGGGGTGAAAGGCAAATAGAGAAGGTGTTCCTAGTTGGGGAACCAGAACATGCAAAGAGAAGACCCTGGCAAAGAACTTGGTATAACTGGTTTTTACTTCTTTTTTTTTGTCCTGTGTTTTTAAGACAGGGTCTTGCTATGCAGTTCAGGCTGGCCATGAGCTCACTTTGTAGCCCAGGCTGGCCTCAAACTTGCAATGATCCTCCTGCCTCAGCCTCCCAAAGTGCTGGGATTACAGGCATGAGCCACCACACCTGGCCTTGCTGTCTTATTCATAAAGGTTTACTAAATTTTATAAGTGCTGTGCAGGACACCAGCGCTCATTTCCCAGTTGATATAACTGTTGCAGTGAAGCTGGAAGAGTCTACAGAGTCTCCAAATAAAAGTCTGGCAGGAAGGGGCTGGGGATTTAGCTCAGCGGCAAAGCGCCTGCCTGGCAAGCGCAAGGTCGTGAGTTCAGTTCCCGGTACCGGAGAAAAACAAAAAACAAACAAACAAAAAAAAAGTCTGGCAGGAAGCCAGGAGTGGTGGTGCACACCTGTAGTCCCAGCACTCGGGAGGCTGAGGCAGGAGGATTGCTGTGAGTTTAAGGCCAGCCTGGATTACATAGTGAGTTCAAGGCCAGGCTAGACTACAAAGCAAGACCCTGTCTCAAAAAAAAAAAAAAGTCTGGCAGGAAGCCAGGAGTGGTGGTGCACACCTGTAGTCCCAGCACTCGGGAGGCTGAGGCAGGAGGATTGCTGTGAGTTTAAGGCCAGCCTGGATTACATAGTGAGTTCAAGGCCAGGCTAGACTACAAAGCAAGACCCTGTCTCAAAAAAAAAAAAAAGTCTGGCAGGACAGTCATTTAAACCCACAGTGTATGTGGTCATATTGCAGTTAAAAAGAAACCCTTGCTCCCACTGGAGTGATCTTTGGGTTGGAGAAGGAGGCTGGGCCTCGTCCTCTAAGGTAGTGTCCAGAGGGGACTAGGAGCCCAGGGAGAGCCAAGTGGCTAGCACTGGTTCATGGTGCCAACATGGCAGGGCAGCACGGCAGCCTGGTGAGCTGACCTCTGGGAAGTGCTAGTGGACCCCATCAGCCACCTTTCTGCACACACCTCCCCTATTCCCTCCTGCAGAGCCTGCCAATGGGGAATGACAAAGGATACGTCTCTGAAAGCTTGCTATTGAGGGCCAAGGCTGCCCAAGAGGGAGTATCTCGGCCTGGGGGCAGCGACCATGGTGCTCCATGGTGGGAGCACAGAGCCGATGGCTCCAGAACTGGGGTGGGCCGCCAGACCTACCTCGGAGGGCCTGTGAAGCTTCCTCCTATGCCCCAGAATCTCTTCCAGCACCTGGATTCCTGGTGGAGAGTGCTTCATTTCAGGTTTTTGCCCTGTGTGACTATCTCCAGACTTGTTGACTATAAAACTCTGGAAGCACGCCAGGGTTTCTACCCGGTGTTTATTCATTTCTGGGCCAACTCTGGTTCCGGAAGGGAGTGCTTTTTATGTTGCTGGGGGTGCAGCATTTTCTACGCATGGGTGCGGCCACCTCATGTTCTCTTTCCTCTCAGTCACCAGGTGCTCAAGGAATTCCAGCCTGGCAAGAGGGCAAGTCCTGGACTGGAGATGGAGGAAGAGAGGAATACTCAGAAGGATTTGTGCTGGGGTGGGTGTAGCTCAGGCTCTTTGGAACCAGGACAGGGGCTTGAGGAAGGCTGGGTCCTAAGGCCTCCTGGGAAAGGTCCTGCTCAAGTTACAAGAGGAGGAAGGGGAAGGGTGCTCCTGGAAGGAGGAACAGCACTTGAAAAGGTTAGGAGAGGGCAGCAGGAGAAGGGTCCAGCGCCCCAGGCTGAGCTGAATCCTGTTGGGCTCCTTCCTGCCCCAGCCCCTTACCCACTGCAGCCCTGTAACCCAATGATAAAGATCCAGGGTCACTGTGAGGCTTCCCCTCCCTCTGGGGTGCACCAGGCCGAGAGGCTATCGGGCTAGGATGCCTCCAGGTCTTCCCTCCAGTGTTGCCAAAGGTCGGACGCTGAGGTCCAGGGGAGGAAGGTGACAAAGCAGGCGTAGGCTCCGCCCATCGGCCATTCCCAGACTGGAGAGGGGATTCTGGGCACACAACCAGAACTGCATTCTAATTTCAAAGACTGAAAAACTGAGGCCCAGCAAGGCCCCGAGCAGATTAGAGGCGCAGTGGGAGCCGAAGTCCATCCTCCCATGTCCGTGGAGCAGAGCCAGTTCCCACCCCCACGCCCCTTTTTTTTGTACTGGGGAGCGAACCCACGGCCTTTGCGCTGAGCTATGTTCCCAGCCTTTTAAAATTTTTGAGACAAGGTCTCCTTAAATTGCTAAATTGCCCAGGCCGGGCTTGTACTCGGGATCCTCCTGCCTTAGCCTCCCCAAGTGCTAGAATTACAGGCTTTTGTCACCACGCCTGGCTGAGAGTGCCTTTGTGGCTTGTACCTCCGATTCTGTAGTGGAGGGATCAGATTTGGAGTTAAGCCTTCATATAAGCCACCTCTGACTGTCCAGCCAGCAGGGCCAAGCTCTTTGTGCCCTGGGAAGGCAGAGCACAGCACACTTTCCTCTGACACTGGCTACTCAGAGCAGGTGTGGCAAGGCGGTCCCTCCCCACAGAGGGTGAAACCCCACCTCATCCCTTGCTAGAGCCCCTCACGTCTTCCTGTAGCCTTCCATGCATTTTTTTTTTTTTTTTGGTTGTTGTTCTTGTTATTTATTTTCTGAGACAGGGTCTCGCTATGTGCTTCAGGCTGGCCTCAAACTCGAGGCAATCCACCTGCCTCAGCCTCCCGAGTGGTGGGATTACAGGCGTGAGTCACCCCGCCTGGCTCCTTCCACTGGTTCTTGATCTGCGTTCCCAGTTGTGGGAATTGGTGAGTCACAGGGTAAAGCAGCTCAACCGGAACAAGAGCCTGAGCCGGTTGGCTGTGGGGGGACCGAATGGCTCAGGCCTCCGCACTTCTTTCCAGGCCACTCCACGTACACACGGCCGCAGGCCGCTGAGACATAGGCGTCCAGAAGTTGCAGGATCCGGACTTCCAGGGCCGGGCATTGCCAGAGGGCCGCAAGCCCGGAGTCGGCAAGGCCCCGCCCACAGCTCCGCCCCGCCGGCCTCCGCCCGCGGGTCCCGGGTGCTGGAGCTCGCGGGCGGCAGGTGAGCGGCCTCTCGGCTCCCAGCGTGCGCAGTCTGCCGGCACCCCGGAGAGGCTGGGCTTCCGCGGAACCTGGCCGAGAGTCAGCTGCCCATGGGCTTTCGGAGTGGCTGCCTCACACTGCCGCCAGCCAGGCCTGCACCCGCGGGATCCTCGAGGGGCTCTGGCTGGCCTCGATGGAGCTCCTCCCGGTCCCTGTTGCTTCTGCTGCTTTTGCCCCTGTCTGCGATGTCCTCCACAGACCGGGACTGGCAGTGCCCGCGCACGCCCTACGCCGCCACCCGCAACTTTGATGTGAGGTATGTGGTGCCCTTTTTCTCCGCGGGCGGCCTCGTGCAGGCCGTAGTGACCTATGAGGGCGGCCAGGACGGCAGTGCCGCGTTCGTGGCCACTCGCAATCGCCTGCACGTGCTTGGGCCTGCCCTGCAGTTTGTCGAGAGCCTGGCCACCGGCCCTGCTGGAGACCCGAGCTGCCAGACCTGCGCGGCCTGTGGACCAGGCCCCCACGGGCCGCCAGGTGACACAGACACGCTGGTGCTAGTGCTGGAGCCCTGGCTCCCCGCCCTGGTCAGCTGTGGCTCCAGCCTGCGGGGCCGCTGCTTCCTGCATGAGCTGGAGCCCCACGGAGGAGCCTGGCGTCTGGCGGCACCCGCCTGCCTCTTCTCTGCCCACCGAAACCGGCCTGAGGACTGCCCCGACTGTGTGGCCAGCCCCCTGGGCACCCGGGTGACTGTGGTTGAGCAGGGCCAGGCCTCTTACTTCTATGTGGCATCCTCGCTGAACACAACGGTGGCTGCCAGCTTCAGCCCCCGCTCCGTGTCCATCCGGCGCCTCAGGGCTGACGCCTCAGGATTTGAAACGGGCTTTTCGGCGCTGTCGGTGCTGCCCAAATACCTGGACTCCTACCGTATCGAGTACGTGCACAGCTTCCACTCGGGAGCCTTTGTCTACTTCCTGACTGTGCAGCCTACCAGTGTGACAGACACTCCTGGTGCCCTTCACACGCGCCTGGCACGGCTCAATGCCCTGGAGCCGGAGTTGGACGACTACCGGGAGCTGATCCTCGACTGCTCTTTTGCACCTAAACGCCGCCGCCGCAGGGCCGCAGAGGGTGGGCAGTCCTACCCGGTGCTTCAGGCGGCCCACTCAGCTCCCGTGGGTGCCCAGCTCGCCTCTGAACTAAGCATCACCGAGGGCCGTGAAGTGCTGTTTGGAGTCTTTGTGACCGGCAGGGGTGGTGGCCCTGGCATGGGCCCCTACTCTGTAGTCTGTGCCTTCCCCATTGACATGCTAAACACGCTCATTGATGAGGGTGTGGAACTCTGTTGTAAGTCCTCTGTTATCTCTGGCCTTCGACGGGGCCTCGACTTCTTCCAGACACCCAGTTTTTGCCCTAACCCGGTGAGCAGAAAGAGGGGGCCCCAGATGGTTCGTCTGGCTGTGGCTGAACATGGGCTGGTTCCCCTCTGTCATGGCGAGCGCCTGGGAGGGGGCAGGCAGGCAGAGAAGCATTCTCTTCTGTCCAGTGCCTAATTCCTGGGGCCAGTGTGGGAGGTGGAAGGCTCGTCTTCCAGCCAGGCTGGCCCCCCTTGCTGCCTCCCTTTGCTCTTTCATGCACTCAGCCATCATGGCGCTGGGGTTTTTTTAGGTAGTTTCCCAGATTATGTGAAGATGGGATTGTATCATAATTATCCCTCTGCCAGCACAGCTCCCAAACTCTGGATAGAATGATGGGCATCCCCTCCCATCTGCCCATCACGCCTGCCTTCCGGGACACTCATGGAAAAGTGCGTATGCACATACAAGTGCCCGCACAGGCGCATGCTTACATATGCACACACAGCCACTTGCCAGCGCAGTTTCACTTTCCCTAATGGGAGGACTTGTGTGGCTCTGCTTTCCAAAGGGGGCGGGCAAGAGTTGTTGGAGAACCCGCCACCCCACCAGGCTGTAGGGAGCCTGTCAGTTCTTGGGAGTCTGGGGGTTTATTAGGGAAACTGCGTGGCCTGTGCCTCACTATCGCATTCTCAGTAGGTCGGTGGAGGAGGACCCAGGACACAATGGGAAGGCAGTGTCGCCCTGGCTTGTCCTCATCCCAGTCTGTGCAAGCAACTGTAAACATCCGGGAAAGAGTAAAGGCCTAGTTTTACCAGCCACTTAGGCTCATATGCTCAGGCCTGAAAAAAAACAAAACAAGTTTTAGCTTTTAGTGCCAGTTACAGTAGGAGGGGCTGGTTGGAATTGGTTCAACTGAGATATACGCCACTACAGTGTAACTGAGGCCCTGTCCCGGGTAGGCGGTCTTCTGCTGAATCAGGGGCCCCTTCCAACAGACCCCACCTTGGCTCTCTCCAGCTGTGGTGTCAGGGAATAAGGATAGAAACAGCAGGGCGTGGTGGCACAGGCCTGAAATCCCAGCACTCTGGAGGCTGAGGCAAGGGGAGCACTTTGAATTCAAGGCTAGACTGAACTGAATAGTGAGACCCTGTCTCAAAAAAAAAAAAAAAAAAAAAAAAAAGCCAGGGATATAGCTCAGTGGCACAAGCATCTGCCTGACAAGCGCAAGGTCCTGAGTTCGATTCCTGATACCAAAAAAAAAAAAAAAGACTAGGAACAAACAGTTATTTGACCCTGATGCCTGGGGTTGTAGCTCAGTGGCACAGTGTAAGGTCCTCCTGGGTTCAATCCCAAGCATCACCAAAAAGAAATAAATAATAAAAATAAAAGAGTTACCCTGAAAACAAAACCCAACTCAGTCCTAGAGGCCATTCAAATAGTCCCACCCGAGACTGTAAGAGAATAGGCCAAAGAAATGGCCTAATTATGAGAGAGACGGGTTGAGTGGAACACTGGACAAGTGGTCTTTCATCATGCTGACCCCACAGCGAACGCTCTGCGGCTCCGGCCACTTGGGCCCAGCTCCCTTGTGACCTTCTCACTTCACTCCTTTCCAGCGCCAATGCAGACCCGAGTGTGGGGCGGGGACCCTCAGCTTCCTCTCCTCAGCTGAGGGCATCTAGATTGAGAGGCCCAGAGGGTGGGAACTTCCTGTCTGGCACTGGACAGCCCTGCCCAGCCCCATCATCCTCCCTCTGGGGAGCCAGACATTCTCCCAGCTTGGTTAGTCAGTAGGTCAGAAGATGCCCAGCATGGCCAGGCATTGCCTGGTACCGGGAGGACTAGCCTTAGGCCCTCCCCACAGGCTGGCCAGGCCAGCAGTGTTCGGTGTCCACACTGCTGTGCAAACCAGTGTTTGTCCAATGACTCTGGGTGTGCAGCTGCTGAGGCACCCCTCGCTGTGTGCTCGTAGTGATTGGCCTCAGGCCGCGCCTGGCCTCCATGGGTTCAGGAGGGTCCAGGTCCTCCACGGGGCACTGTACACTTAGTGTTTTTAGGGGCCAGGGACCCCTCGTAAACCTTCAAACCCAGAGCTAAGGGCCTAGAAGCAAGCAAACAGGGTTGTGGCCCTGGTTGGGTGAGGGCCTCTTTCCAGTCCCAGAGCCCCACCTGTTCCTGAGTCACGCTGAAAACACCTGGCAGCCTTGCGGCTACGGCCAGGCCCCTTTTCTTGTCGAGTGAAGACAAAGTCCTAGTCCCCACCCACACAGCGACAGACCCAGGAGTGGGGCAAGTCTACACCCAGCTCGGTACCTGCTGTTCTCTACAGCCCTGGTCTGCGCCGGAGCGGAGTGGGTTAAATCTGTGTGCTCTCAGCCGGGCAAGGGAGCCTTGAGCACCTAGAGCTGGCTGCTGAGCCTTGCCTGCGTTTCAAACCCTGCCCCAACACCTCAAATTCACACACTGTGTTCCTACTTTCCCAGAAGCTTCCACACTCATGCCCCAGAAGTACAGTCCCCGAGTACTCCCATGCTAAGAGCGGGGACGAGGTTGGCCTCTCCTAGCCTCGGCAGCCTAGCCTAGCACCCAGTTCATAGGCCTTGCTTTATCTCTTCTGTACCTGAGGGAGGTATAAGTAGCACCTAGAGGTGCAGAAGGATCTTTGGAGTCTCAGGGAGAAGGCTCAGGTTACCAGAGCCTTGGCCAGTTAACCTCAAAGCTCACCCTTCTACACAACTGTGGACACTGAAGCCCACGGGGCCAGGATTTGCTGAGGAGCACGTGCAGAGGCCGAGCCGAGCCAGCAGGGGGCAGGAGAGGACGCTAGTTAAGTGCAGATTTCCAACTTGGCTCCTCTCCTGAGGTCAGACCTCTCCCAGCCTCTTTCCACTCTACAGGTTGGTTGTGAGGTTGGGTCTGTAACACTCAATCACTCACTCACTCATTTCTGCAATGGATATGGCAGGATAAGGCAAGGAGTCGGGAGCTGGCCTGGGCCTCCTTCCTGCCCGGCCTTGCTACCTCTGAAAGCCCGCGGGGATAGGGGCAGGTAACTGGCAGGCTGAGAGCCTCCTCTAGTCAGGCCGGGTGAGGGGTGGGAGTTTGGTCTGTTGTGATCACTGACAGAAGCTGAACCTTCTTTTTCTTCCCGGACTCTCCTTAGCCAGACCCAGAGGCTCCTAGCCCCAACATCAGCTGCCGCTACTTCCCTCTGCTGGTCAGGAGCAGCTTCCCACGCGTGGACTTATTCAACGGGCTTTTAGGACCCGCGCAGATCACTGCGCTGTATGTAACACGCCTTGGCAATGTCACAGTGGCCCACATGGGCACGGCTGATGGACGTATCCTGCAGGTAGGTCTCTTACTCACAGCCCCCTGGCCCTGTTTTCCTGTCCTCTTTGTCTATTTTGCTTACAGCTGGCCTGTCCTAGGTGGAGCTAGCCAGGTCACTCAACTACTTGCTGTATGTGTCCAACTTCTCACTGGGCAGCAGCGGGCAGCCCATTCAGCGAGATGTCAGCCGCCTCGGGGACCACTTACTCTTCACCTCTGGGGACCAGGTGAGGTAGGCAGGGTCACAGCCTGGAGTCAGGGTTGTGGGAACATCTAATCTGGGGGATTTTGACACGCAGGTCCCACAGCCCTAGTTTACAGTAGGACCAGCAGGGTCCTTCCTTTAGTCATCCCTGATCCAACTGTCTGTCACCCCAAGGTCTTCCAGGTACCTATCCGGGGCCCCGGCTGCCGCCACTTCCTCACCTGTAGGGGTTGCCTGCGAACACAGCGCTTCATGGGCTGTGGCTGGTGTGGAGACAGGTGTGGCAGACAGGAAGAATGTCCTGGCTCCTGGCAACAAGATCACTGTCCACCTATACTCACTGAGGTACAGCTTTCCTGGCAGGGCACAGGTAAGGGTGGGATAAGAGGGCCTGCGGTGGGGTCAGCCAGCCCTGACCATGACGTGGCTCAAGCCAGGAATGCCCTCCGTATCTACAAGAAGGACATTCTTGGCAGAGGGGAGAACGCATGCTAAGACTCGGGAGGCAGGAAAATGCTTGAAGACACACGAGTATCCGGAATGGCTGGGGTGTGGGGCAGACGGGGGGTGGCAGGAGCTCTGACGGGGCTGAAGAGAGCCCAACTAGGCACAAGAACTCAGCCTCTGTTTGCTCGGCTTCAGTTCCACCCCCACAGTGGGCCCCTAAGGGGCAACACGAGGCTGACTCTGTGTGGCTCCAACTTCTACTTGCACCCTCATTCTCCGGTACCAGAGGGAACCCACCAGGTCACAGTGGGCCAAAGTCCCTGCCGGCTGCTGCCTCAGGACACTGCAAACCTCAGGTACCAGTTGGTGTCTGCCCTCCCTCTGTTGCTTATGGGGGCCACCAAGCAGCCCCTTCCATGTGCAAGCCGTCTTCTGCTTATCACGGTCAGGGAGCATGGAGCAAGCTGTAGTGGCTCTGGCGGCCCCTTTCCTGGGGAAGCATCCCTGTCCCTGTCGCTTTTCGATCCTACATGTGCCCTACCCGTCCGTTTAGTCACGGCTTAGATTAAAGGTAACTGAAGGGCTGGGGATGTAGCTCAGCAGCAGAAGCACCTGCCTGGCAAGTACAAGGTCCTGAGTTCGATGCTTGTTACAAAAAAAAAAAAAAAAAAAGATTAAAGGTTACTCTTGCCTGGCCCAATGCTACCTGTCCTAGGGGAAGGCATGAGTGGAGAGATACCGTCCTCAGGCTCAGAGGAGCCCTGTGCCCTGTAGCCAGCGTGCAGCCAGGCTTTGTGATTTCTGGCTAATCTCAAGCATTCCCTTGGTGCCACAGCCCGACACCCCAGAAGGACTTTGTAGAGGAGCTTGAGTGTGAGCTGGAGCCCTTGCACACCCAGGCAGCGGGGACTACCAACATCAGCCTCACCGTGACTAACGTGCTGCCGGGCAGGCACTTCCGTGTGGAGGGCACCGCCCTGCGGGGGAGTTTCTCTTTCATGGTAAGGCCGCCTCGTCTTGTGTGTGCGCACTTGGCCAGTGAGTGGTACAAAAAGGGAAGGGCTTGGGGGCGAGGGGTGTTCCAGCTAAGGTACCTTGATGCCCTCCTAGGAGCCGGTGCTGACAGCCGTGCGACCCCTCTTTGGCCCGCGGGCAGGGGGTACCCTTGTCACCCTTGAAGGCCAGCACCTGTCTGTAGGCACCAGCCGGGCTGTGCTGATCAATGGGACTCAGTGCCAGTTGAAAGAGTGAGTATGAGGCAAGGAGATGGGAAGCCATGTGGTCCCGCGTAGGGGAGCCTGACTAAGCAGGCCCCTGGGCCCTGTGAGGGGAGGGACGAGGCCCAGTGACATGGCCAGTGCGCGGGAGAAGCGTTGGAAGGATCTTCTTCCCCTCTGGTCCAGAGGCGAGGGGCCAGATCAGAGTCTCCGGCTCAAACCAAGGCTGTGAGGGGCATGTTCCCTCCCTTCCCTCGTGAGGGACTTACTGGGACCCGTGGAGTTTGGGTCAGTGGGGGAAACACCCAGCAGAGAACTGGAAGGGATTAGCAGGCCCGTGGGGGAGGTAAGACTGGCCATCGTAAGTGCGGGTGTGTGTGTGAGGGGGTGAGCCCAATCTCTCATTCCTGCAGGGTCACCGAGGGGCGGATAGTATGTGCCACGCCCCCCGGTGCTGCTACGGCCAGTGTCCCGCTTGGCCTGCAGGTGGGGGGTGCCGCGGTGCCCGGTTCCTGGACCTTCCACTACAAGGAGGACCCCATTGTGCTGGGTATCACCCCCAACTGCGGCTACACGTAAGTGTCGCCTCGGTACACACCAGCCTCTGAGGGATGAAAGAGCCTGCCCGTGAGAGAGCCCCCAGAACAAACCATCTGCTCCCCTCTGCAGTGGCTCCCACGTCACCATCCACGGCCAGCATCTGACTTCAGCATGGCACCTAACACTGGCATTCCATGATGGGCAAAAGGCAGCAGAGAACAGGGTGAGTGGGTGCCAGCCGGGAGGGAGGCTGGACCAGTTCTCGAGCGCCAACCTCACCTGCACTGGCGTGAGGATCTGGGGCAGCCACAAGTGGGGCGCCTGCCTAACCATTCCCGTGTGGGTCTCAGCAGTGTGAGGGGCCGCTTCCGGAGCAGCATCGATGCCATCTGCCTGAATATGTGGTCCGAGACCCCCGGGGGTGGGTAATAGGGAATCTGAGTGTCCAGGGGGATGGAGCTGCTGGCTTCACCCTGCCCAGCTTTCGCTTCCTACCCCCACCTCGTCCACCCAGTGCGGACCTAGCCCCGCTGAAGCCTGAGGAACACGCTGTGAAGTTCCAGGTAGGTATGAGGGGTGGGACAGGGACACTGAGGGTTCTAGAGGGGGGCCAGGCCACTGGCTAGGCCTCACAGCTGTCTCTGCAGTACATCGGGCTGGATGCTGTGGCTGACTGCGTTGGTGTAAATGTGACTGTGGGCGGTGAGAGCTGCCAGCACGAGCTCCGGGGGGACGTGGTGGTCTGTCCCCTGCCTCTCTCGGTGCAACTCAGCAAGGACGGCGTCCCGTTGGAGGTAGGCAGCCCAGCTGGCCCTCACGGGAAACATGGCGGAAGGCCTGCAAGCCAGGCCTGAGCTGTCCTCTGCTTCCAGGTGTGTGTGGATGGTGATTGTCACGTCCTGGGTAGAGTGGTCCGGGCAGCCCCAGAGGGCGTCCCCCAGAACACGCTTCTTACCACCCTGCTGGGCCTGGGCCTGCTCCTGCTCATGGTTTTCCTGGCTGCTGCCCTCGCCTTAGCCTACCAGTGGCGGAGGAAGCAACTAGGTGAGCTCCCTACCCGCTACCTGACTCAGCATCTTCCTCCAAAGAGTGGCGTCTCCAGGCCCCTACATCCTCCCTCTGCCCAGGCCTTGGAGTCTCTCGCAGCTCCTTGGTGGGGTTGGCTCCCAGGAGCTCAGAGCTGTCTTTCCACAGTCCTTTCTCCCCACCCGGATGACCGGGCACCCCCGGGCCAGACTGCTGGAGCTGCACTCCTGCGTGCGCTCCACTCAGGCTCTGACAGTGGAGATGATCTGGGTGAGGTGGCGGAGGTGCTGGAAGCGGGGGCCACACCTCTCCACAGGCTCTCATGCCTTCTCCCCCACAGCACTCTCTGCCCTTGATGGTCCACGTTCTCCCACTGGGGCCCATGCGGAATCCTTCTCAGATGGCAAGGACGCGTCCTCTGTCCCTCTGCTGCGGACAGAGTCCATCCGGCTCAGGGACCTGAGCTCAGCACTCCTGGCCGAGGTCAGGGATGTGCTGATTCCTCATGAGCGAGTGATCACCCACAGTGACCAAGTCATCGGCAGAGGTGTGGGACCTGGCGGGGCTGGGGCAGAGAGGTCACACCAACCTGTGTGACCTTGACTCTACCACAGAGCTTCCTTTGCTCACCTGTGAAATGGGCGTTAGGAAAATTCTATCTTCAGTGGGTTCTGGTGTAAATTAAGTGCACATGGGAGGGCTGCAGTCTCTACCATACTGAAGGTGTTGCCTTTTTTCTTTTTTGTCTTTAGTACGAGAGATTAAACCCAGGGACTCCACACTGAGCTACCTCCCCATCCCTTTTTTGTTTTTTATTTTGAGAGAGGGTCCCACTGAGTTACTTAGGCTGGGCTAAAACTTGTGATCCTCCTGTCTCAGCCTCCCAGAGTTCTAGGATGACAGGCGTATGTCGCCACACCTGGCTGCTATTTGTTTTTAACATCAGATAGACCTGTTTGGTGGTCTGAGGTCTGGATGCCAATGAGAGGGAGTGCTGTGAACTGGGCACCGAGCTCCTTCTGACCACCTTCTCTTGCCAGGCCACTTCGGGGTTGTCTACCATGGGGAATATACAGACGAGGCCCAGAATCGGACCCATTGTGCCATCAAGTCACTCAGTCGTAAGTGGGGTGGAGGCTGGGAGGGGCCCCAGGCTGGAAGGCTCCCCGTTTCTGTGTTGGCAGCTTAGTGATGCTGAGCAGAGCAGACCCTTGGGAAAGGGCCCCTTTGTCCTGAGCCTGACCCGGGCCGCTTCCCAGGCATCACGGAGGTGCAGGAGGTGGAGGCCTTCCTCCGTGAGGGGCTGCTCATGCGGGGCCTGCACCACCCGAACGTGCTGGCTCTCATCGGGATCATGCTGCCCCCCGAGGGGCTGCCCAGTGTGCTGCTGCCCTACATGCGCCACGGAGACCTGCTCCATTTCATCCGCTCGCCTCAGCGGGTCAGTGCCAAGCCAGCCCTGGGGAGCAGGGGTGGGGAGGCGGCAGCTGGGGATGAGCTGTTCTGCCCTCGCTCACGCACGCGCTGCATCCCCAGAACCCCACTGTGAAGGACCTCATCGGCTTCGGCCTGCAGGTGGCCCGGGGTATGGAGTACCTGGCGGAACAGAAGTTCGTGCACAGGGACCTGGCTGCTAGGAACTGCATGTGAGTGACTTGGGTGAAGCCAAAGGCAGGGCATGGTGGGCATGTGGGTGCCCCAGGACGCCTCAGGGAAGGGACTGATGTAGCCCTGGGCATATCTTCCTTTCTCTGTCGGCCTCAGTTTTTTAGTCTGCTCGGTAAAAACTTAGCTCTGAAATTCTAACGTAACGGCTTGAAAGAGATGGCTTTATAGCCTGGTGGGAGTCAGTTTCAAGAGATGGCTTTATAGCCTGGTGATTCCCCCTCCCAGGCTGGACGAGTCATTCACCGTCAAGGTGGCGGACTTTGGCCTGGCCCGTGACGTCCTGGACAAGGAGTACTACAGCGTCCGTCAGCAACGCCACGCTTGCCTGCCTGTCAAGTGGATGGCGCTGGAGAGCCTGCAGACCTACAGATTCACCACCAAGTCTGACGTGGTGAGGCTCCACCCACCCCAGGTCTAAGTGGCTTCAGTGGCCTAGAGCTGGCCTTGCCCATTCGGCTCCTCTTGGTCTGAGCCCAGGGAATCCCCAGTTAGGCAACCTCCACAGCTCATTCGTCCGCCTCTTGGGCAGATGTGAAATGGAATCTGACACCTACCCGACAAGATGAGATCAGAAGTCACTGGCTCCTCCCAGGCCATTTGGCGCTTGCCCAGCCCCGAACTCTGGGTAGCTGAGGAGGAGACCCAAGTTGTACAAGATTCAGGAATGAGCTCTGAGGGGAGGGTGGGGTCCTGCATTCCCAGGTGAAAGACTCCAGAAGGTAGAGGATCTGGGGGACCCACCTACCCCCCAATTTGGGGTGAGAGTTGAGTTCTCTCACTTCTCCCTCCTCACAGTGGTCATTTGGTGTGCTTCTGTGGGAACTGCTAACACGGGGTGCCCCGCCATACCCCCACATTGATCCTTTTGACCTCATCTGCTTCCTGGCCCAAGGTCGGCGCCTGCCTCAGCCTGAGTATTGTCCCGATTCTCTGTGAGTACATGGACGTGGGAGTGGGAGGCGGGTGGGCGCCTGAGACAAGGAGGGGCCAGGGGGTCCAGTTCCCACCTTATTTTCCACGTGACCCTTAGATTGACTAGGAAAGAGATCCTCTCTGGGCCTCGCTTTTCTCATCTGTGGACTTCCCCCCGCCCCCCAAATTCAGGGCAAGATGCAGAGAGGACCTCACAGTTGCCATGGTAACAGCATTCCAACTCATAGTCTGGGTTGAGGCAAGTGGCTTGCTTCCCTGGCTCCCCCCTTCTCTTGCTAAGGGGGCTGTTTTCCATCTCTCCACTTACTGAGCCTCAAGGAACGATTCCATTAGCTCCCACGGTGGCCCCTCAGCACCGTCAGATCAGGGTTTTCTCATTGGAGGGAGCTTCAGACTTCCTGTTCCCAGAGGGATGGCAGCAGCTGTGCTGTCATCAGTGCCTGTGGGGTGGGTCTGACTCCCTGAGCAGCACGGATGTCTCAGCTGTGTTCAGGTCTGTGGGGTTAGACCAGGAAGAACCAGGTCACAGGTAAAAGTGGTTGATGACGCTTGTCCCAGGCCATACTCCAGAAAGCGTGTAACACTTCCTCAGCCCTACCTGTCTTGGGTTTGACCTTTTGGAGCCACTTCAATCAGGCATCTGATTTGGTGGGACGTTGACTTCACTGCCAGCCTGCATCGAGGGTGGGCTCCCTGGACAGACTTGTGGAGATTTCTGTATAGGCTTCACTAGGAACTTGGGGCAGGGGAAATGCGGCTAGGCAGAGGGAGAGGGCGGCTGTGATGCAGACGCAGGAAAGCGTGCAGCCCATCCCACGGGACTGCTTGAGCTGGGCTGGCTCTTTAGAACTTTTTGAAATTGAGACCTAAGGGCCAGATCTCTGTACCAGGTGTTCATCAGTCGCTGGTCATGGGCAGTCCCTGGTGTGGGAGGGTGAGCTTGCAGGAGGCTGTTCTCCTCGACCTGGGGCAGTACTGAGAGAGGGGTTCAGTGAAGAGTCATCACCAGGAGCACTCAGTCACTGGGAGAAGGAAGGAGCTCCAGACAGCACACTGCTACGCTAGTGAGCACCGTGCCAGGGCAAGTCCCTTTTCCTCATGGTCCTCAGTTTGCTCATCTGTGAAGTACAGCTGATAACAGTGCTATTCTCAGAGAGTGTGAGACATGTATGAGATGCGTGTGTGGGACACTTAGACAGTGACGTAAGGCGAGGATGACATTCCCAAGACATTGAAGCAGGCAAACCTGGAGAACTTCTGCTTCAGAACCATGGTGCCACTGGTGCTGCCCCAAATGCTGCTCCTTGAGGTCTTTGAATCCCCATTTTACTTCCTTCCTGGAATATGTGTGAGGTACTCATCATAGCCTGTGCCTAGCCTGTGAGCTGGGCCCTGTGCTAACCACTTCATAGCTGTCCTCTCACCCTGTTCTACTGTTCTGTGATCAGAGGAGGAGTCAGAGGCACAGGACGGGTGAAGAACTTGCCCAAGATCACAGTCCTATGCCGTGGAGTACCAGAGCTGAATTAACTTCTTTTCTTTTTTCTTTTTGCAGTCCTGGAGATCATACCAGGGCCCATTTGCATTGAGCTAAATCCCTAGCCCTTTCTATTTATTTATGTATGTATGTCTTTTTGAGACAGGGTCTCACTATGCAGTTCAGGCTGGCCCTGAACTCACTTTGTAGCCTGGTCTGGAACTCATAATGATCTTCCTGCCTCAGCCTCCTGAGTGCTGGGATTACAAGCATGCACCACCACGCCTATTTTTTATTTTGATGCAGGGTCTTGATAAGTCACTAAATTGCCCAGGCTGGGCTCAAACTTGTGATTCTCCTGTCTCCGCCTCCCAGAGCACTGGGATTACAGGCCTGCATCCCTTTTAACCTCTGAGGCCGGGTGGACCTCTGTTAGGGTGGGAAGGCAGGACGGCATCAGCAATCACAGCAGTGAGAAGAGCAGTCCGATTGGGCAGTGCTGGGTACTAGGCCTGGCCGCGTGTTCTGTTTGGCCTGGCGGGGTTCGCAGCAGGTCGACAGCCAAGAGCCCTGGATCAGGTGCACTGTGCCCTTGATCTCCCCTCCTGCAGGTACCGGGTGATGGAGAGGTGCTGGGAGGCAGACCCAGCAGCACGACCCACCTTCAGAGCACTGGTGGTAGAAGTGGAGCAGGTTGTGGTCTCGCTGCTCGGGGACCACTATGTGCAGCTGTCCGCAGCCTACGTGAACCTGGGCCCTAGCACCCTGGAGGGGGCGAGTGCGCTCCCGGAACATCTGCGGTCCTCGCCTGTGCACAGGAGTGTGTCTCGGCCCCGACCCCTCTCAGAGCCGCCTCTGCCCACCTGACCTGGGTCCTGGGAAGGCCCATGGGGCTGAACTTGCTTAGTGGCCTTGAGCCAAGCCCTGATGGCCTCCGGGCCGTGCCAGGCTGGAGGATGTGGGGTTTCCACCTCGTGCCTGCCCTTTAACCTCCAGGGAGTGGTGGAGGGCACATGGGTCTCTCACTGCACAGTGAGCCGGTGTGAGCGACCCTTCCGTAACACGTCCCTATGGAGCACGCTCTGTGCCGTGCCTGCTGGACACAGAGGACATGGCAGCGACACAAAGACACTCACCTCTGAGCCAATAAAAAAAATGAATATTCATGTACAAACTGTGGAAAATGCTGTGAGAGAAAGATAGGAGGGAATTGAGGACTGCTTCAGACCCAGAGGTGACTAGAGAAGGAGGCTTCCCAGGAAATGACACTTTTCTTTATTTTTTATTTTTATTTTTTTGTCTTTTTGAGACAGGGTCTCGCTATGCAGTTCAGGCTGACCTTGAGCTCACTTTGTAGCCTAGGCTGGCCTCGAACTCGCAGCAATCCTCCTGCCTCAGCCTCTCGAGTGTTGGGATTACAGGAGTACACCACCATGCCCAGCACTTTTCTTTGTTTTTTTGAGATAGTCTCACCATATAGCTGAGACTGACCTTGAACTGTGTAGTTCAGGCTGGCCTCAAACTCATGGCACTCCTCCTGCCTCAGCCTCCCAAGTGCTGGGACTACAGGTGTGCACCACCACACCCAGCCAGGAGGTGCCGCTTTTTCTGAGGCTCTATCACGTGGGGGGAGATCTGCCAGAAGCAGAGTTTGGGGAGAGTTTTTGGCAGGGTGAGCAGAATGTGCAAAAGCCATGCCACTAGGAAGACTCTGGGTCACCTGGTGGTGACAGAGGCTAGAGAAGGTGGGCAGGACCCAGGTCAGAGACAGGGCCTTGAAGATGACTGGGTCAGCAGCAGCCAGGGTGGTTTTTCCCAAGGCTCGAGCTGTCCCTCCTCTGCCTGGCGCTTCTCCAGGTCCCCCACCACAGGTACACACAGAGTCAGGGCACAAACGCTTCTCCCAGCCTGACAGGTTTACACTTGCGACCAGGAGAGAGAGGACCCAGCAGAAGGCCCTGGCTCCACTTTGGAGGAGCCAAATAAAGCACCAGCTGCCCATGGTGTGTGTTTGTTTTGTTTTGTTTATCTTTTTGAGACAGGGTCTCGCTATGCAGTTCAGGCTGGCCTTGAGCTCACTTTGTAGCCCAGGCTGGTCTCGAACTCGCAGTGATCCTCCTGCCTCAGCCTCCCGAGTGCTGGGATTACAGGCATGTGCCACCATGCCCAGCAATCCACAGTGTTTAACTCGCCAAGCCCCCTGCACAGTAGCCACTAGAGGGGCATGTTTCTCTGGAGAAGGAGAAGTGGCCTTTGCCCCTGCCCTGCCCCCTTACCCTGCCTGCTGAGGAAGGCAGCTGGGCCTTGCTGCTGTGGAAGCTGGGGTGCCAGGGCCCATAGATCACAGTGTTAACTTTCCCCTGTTTAGGACCCCTGTGGCCTCCATCCTCTTAGTATGGAGACCTCTAGTTCACCCTCAGCAGGGCAGGCTCTCTCCCCTCCAAGCCCTCAGCCCTGCACCCTGTCATACACGGAACCCTGGGTGTGGAGCAAGAGCTCCCTGCTGAGCAGAGTGGAGGGGTCCCCTTGGGACCAGGGGTACCCAGGTATTCTCCAGCTTGGGCTGTCACCTCAGGCCAGAGAGGGGCTTAGTCCAGGGATCCAAAGGGCCCTGAGGACCGGTGGATAAGGCTTAAAAGGAGACTTCTACTGAGTCTCAGGGGCCCCGAGATGAGGGCCTGTGAGCTAAAGATGGACAGAGACAGACGACCTATTTATGGCTACACCTCTGACGCCTCAGAGCAGGCATAGAGGAAGCTGTGGCCCCATATGCTCGGCCACTGGCCCTTGTCTGTGTGTGAATGTGGTTGGGAGTTGGGAGACAGGTAAGTGGAGTGTCCTGGAGTGTCCCAAAGCTGTGTTCCCCGCAGCAGTGGGAAAGGACTACCCCCATCTCCCCAACTTGCAGTGCAAGTTGCTCTGCATGGGCTTTAACCCACCCCAAAGATCTAAGGGTCACCCATAGCTCGAGCTGTGGGTAGAGAGTAAGGAGAGGCCCGAGGGTGCCTTCCCCACTGGCTCATGCGCTCACAAGAGGCTTCAGAGAGCAGCGAAGTCTCTGGATGCTTAGCGTGGAAAAGGGGTCCCAGAGAAGAGGGACAGGGATGGAGAGACAGAGCCCAAGGGGCGTTAGGCGTCCTGAGCAGCTAGAATGTGAGGCTTTGCCCGTGTTTCCCGGCCAAGGGGCTCCGGAGCCAGAGTTCTTTGTGGCGGGCTCCAGTTAAGCAGGTGCTTGGGGTCTTGGGTGGTGGCACAACTGTCCCACCGCCACCTTCTGCAGCCCCCCAGCTCTGAGCTCCTGATAGCCCCAAGCCCATCCACAGCATTGGGGTTTCAGAGTAGTGACTGAGCTGTGAGGGAGGACAAATTCGCTGAGTGGCCTCTACCCTTAGCAGAGGCCCGAGTCTCCAGTAGCTCCAGGATGGCAGGCAGCCAGTGCAAAGGGAAGGTTGCTCTTGGCCGTGGTAGGTCTACCAGGTTAGGATGGGGTGAGGCGAGATTTCTCCCAGGTTCAGGGAGCCCGGCCTTCGCATGAAGAGCAGTGAAAGAGGAGTGCCTGCCCCTCTGCCTCACCTCCATCCATCACGGCCCAGTGGTGCTGAGGGCAAGCAGACCCCAGTACAGGTTGAGGGAGGCGAGGTTGGGAGCTGGGACCAAGAAAGAGGCAGGTGACTGCCAGCCTCTTGACTGCCCATCGGTGTCTCTCTTGTTGGCACCTGAGGGGCACGTACGGGGCAGACGGACCTGCTTTCACGGGGCAGCATTGGTCTAGCCCGAGATTCTCCTTCTGCCTCAGCCCCTGCCTCTCAGGAAATTTCCCAGGGACCCAAGGGCTCTCTGGGGGCCGCCCCTGAGGACTCCAGGTACAGCACCATTCCAGACCCGTCTCGCTGTAGTCTGCAGGCGCTCAGAGGTCCGGCCAATAGTGGTTGCCATTTTGAACACAGGTGGTAGGAGCGAGCGAGGTTGCTATCTCCTTAATGGGGCTCCGCATGGGCAGAGACGCAGGGACCAGTAGTGCCAGAGCGCCCAGTGCTGGGGCACCCTCTCCTCTCTGCTCCCTTCTAGGCTGGTGTAGCTGCTGCACACTTGTGGCCAGGTATTTAGGGTCTGGGACAGAGCAGGAACGGTGAAGCTTTGAAGCAGCTGGTGGCCGAGATGACCGGATTCAACCTGATTGGAACCACCACACCCTCCCTCCCTTACGACATGAGTCCCTCCTGGGAGGCTGCAACTGGGACCTGGAGAACTAGAGGACCCAAGGAGCTGGCTCCACTCCTGGGATCCGTGGCAGTGACACCTTCCACCACACGTCGGTCCTGCTGCTAAGTCCGTTCGGACCAAGGAGCTCCTCTGCAAAGAGGAAAAGAAATCTTTGGGTAGCTCTGCTCAGTGTGCCAACATGGACCTGTGCCCTGGTCTCTCTGATAAAGTCACGTGTTTGCTTTTTGTTGGTGGTGGTCTTGTTTTTTCTTTTTGAGGACTAGGGTCTCCCTGTGTAGGTTAGGCTGGACTTGAACTCATGATGTAGTTCGGGCTGGCCTCAAACTCATGGTGATCCTCCTGCCTCAGCCTCTCAAGTGTTGGGACTACAGGCGCACCACCATGCCCGGGTGGTTGTCTGTACCACAGTCCTTTCTGCTTTCTGCCGCCGGGCCTGGGTTGTGTAGGGTCCCTGAAGGAGAGAGACTCTTCTCACACCCGCTCTGCAGCATGCTTGGTGGTCTTTCAGGCAGTCATGAAGCCGTGTGTGTTTCTGGCAGCACTTCTTCACCCTCCCCCACCGCTTACACTGGCTTCTGCATGGAGGGGGTCCTCCTGGGGGGTATGAGGAACTCACCCAGCCCCTAAGCCAGCTGTGGGCAGCAGTCAGGGCTGTGCCACTGCCCTCCCTCTGGGCTGGTGCGGCTGGCCATCTTTCACGCAGAGTTACGTAAGCTTGAGTCAATTGGGACTCAGAGCAGTTCATTGTGGGCTATTTTTAAGCTGCAACACATCACAGCAGAGGGGTCACTGCACCGCCAGCTTGCAGGGAAGGTTGTTTAAACATCTGTTATTTAAATTTCCCTGTGTCTTGGAGCTCAGAAGCCCTATCCTCTCAGAACTACTGGGTTTTGCCTTCCATATCCCAGATTAGGGATGGATTATCTCCCCTCACCCACCCATAGGCTCCTCTAGTGCTCTGTCCCTGCCTTTCTTCCTCTGAGGCCACGCAGTGGTACCAGAGCCTTAACAGCATGCTTCTACCTCCACGGAATGGTGCGTCCTGGCTGGGAGAAACTTCAGGGAAGGAGGTCCAGGGCTCACAGGTCACGTGGGTAGTTCCAGGGACGGAGGTCAGGAGAGGGGATCACACAGGGCCAGCAGGGAGCTGTGAGACTGGAGACTGAGAATACATCCCATCCTTCTGGCCTCAGTTTCCCATCAGCACTGAGAAAGCTGGATCACAGACCCTTTCGGGTCTTTTCAGAAGCCCGCCTGTGTCTGGGCTCTGCTGGCTGGAAGGTCCTCCCTCCCCAGACTCAGACGCTACCCAGCAGCAGCGTCAGGAGCAGAAGGGCTGGTGCATACGCTCCTGGGCAGTGGGCAGGGATGAATCTTTGGGGCAAATGGGCCTCATCTTCACAGCCTTTATAAAGTGGATGGCTGCGCTGGGAGCCCTTGAAGGCTCCTTCCAACCCTCGGTTTTGGAGATGGCCAGAGCCTTCCTAGGGCACCGAGAGTGGAAGGCACGTACACTGGAAGAGCACAAGCCTGGGGACTTGACACTAGCCACCTCCTGAGGGCTGTGTTGGAGAAACAGGCCTGTAGACCTGGTCGGTTATAGTGCTGCCAATAATGTAACCTTCTGAGCCCTCTCCCTGATGACCCACCTTCCTGCCACCTCTCTATCATCCCGAAGACCTCCTAGGTGATAGAGTTTCACCCTGATACCCAGGGGAGAAGGGCTTCCAGGGTGACTTGACTCCCCAGGGCTTGGCACCTTTCCGAAAGCCTGTCGAGGGGGTGAGGTGAAGGTGAGGGGGACAGCAATGCCAGGACTTACCTTTACAGGGTTCAATCCATCTGAGCTCCTTCCAGCTCCTCCCTGCACCCCACAGTCCTCAGCCTGGGGAATGGGCTCAGCCTGGGGGAGGGGCTCTCTAAGTTGCTATGGCAACACATTGGCCCTCCTCACTTCCCAGAATCAGAAATAGAATTGGACACCCTTCTTCCTGGTGAGAGACTATTTAAAAACAAGTGGGGGAAGGGCACAGGGGCACTATCCCCAGGGGCCGGCAGGAGGGGTCCAGACTGGTAGCCCGCATACTTGCCCGGCTACCCTTCCTCTCAGCTGAACGAAACAGGAATAAGCTTTGACCAGCCAAGAATTCACAACACAAGGACTCAGCCCAGCCCTGCAGCATGTGTAGCTGGTCCACGGTCCACACTACCAGGTGGTCACTGGGAGGGCACTGGCTTAGCGTTACCAGCAGGCGAAATACCCCTCCCATGACTGAGCTACCCGCTAAGCTCTCCAGAGGAAGAGCAGGTGCAGGGCTGTGGGGTTAGGGTTGCAGCACTGGAAGGTAGGTGTGTTGGGTCCTCTCTGTGCCTGGCTTTGGCATGGCATCCAGTCCTGGCACCACGGCTTCCTGGGGTTGCCACGGATCTAGAGCCTGGTGGCCTAGCTTTGGACTCTGGTGCTGCCATACACTAGCTAAGGAAAGGTTCTCCTCCCTCTCTAGGCCTTGATTTTCCTCATCTGTAACAAAGGTACAATAGCACCTAGTTTATAGAGCTGCTGTGAGGTTTGGTTGCATGTTCTCCATATTGCACTGGCACATAGGAAGCACTTGATCAGTATGTCTTTTTTTTTTGAGACAGGGTCTCTCTATGCAGCTCAGGCTGGCCTTGAACCCACTACGCAGTCCAGGCTGGCCTCAGACTCCAAGTAATCTTCCTGTCTCAGCCTCCCAAGTGCGGGGATTGCAGGAGTCTGCTACCACACCTGGCCATGTCATTGTTATTACTGCTCTAAGCTCTTTGCTTCTTGCGTGGGAAAACCCTTCTGTCTCCTGGCTGCCTCCTCGGGCCAGACTCTTCCACTGGCCCTTCTCTCTTTCCTCAGGAGACTCCAGGCCTGCTGCTTACAAAGGACCCCTTCCCTGGAGAGGAGGGCCATGCCTCACTCCGCGAGTTATAGAATGGGTCCATCATCAGAGAGGAAGGGGATTCACCAGGCAGCTCTCCCTCCCTGTTCTTCCCAGGCACAGCACGGCTCCAATGCTGCAGAGGCACTAGAGGTTGCTACTAGATCAATGTCATGAAAAAATAACTAGCTTGCTCACCCCAGAATATAACACAGCGTTCTGCAAGTACGTGTGCACACACGTGGAGGCACACACAGACACAGCTCACAGACCCCTGGGCTCGGCCACCTTTCCTGGGTCACAGCATGAAAGAAGACTGTTTGGCTCCCCAGTGTCTGAGCTGTCTGTCCTGGTTCTTAACTAAAGGCTGCATTTGAAGATGGGGAAAGGGCCCAGGGGCCTGAGATTCGACTGAATCAGGCTTTGCCCAGTGCCGAGTCAGAAAGGTGCAGATGCAGCGCGGCGCTAGCCTTGGTTCCTGGTCACACAGCCTCGTACCCCACGGCCAACTGCAAGCACTATTTTTAACCTCTGTGAAAATACATTGCTTTGGAAGGCAAGCCTATCGCTACATTCTCCACAAACCTGTTTCCTGGGTGGAAATATTGAGGCCTGAAGGGACACAGCCGTGGAAGACAAAGGGAGGAGGAGGAAGAAGGGGGATCCTGCCCCAAGTCACAACCTCCAAACCCAAACCCAGAAGGGTGGTTCCCCAAGCTACAGTCTTGGCCTGTCCTCTGTGGCTGCAGGGCAGCTCTGGGGCTGTGGGGGAGATCAGGGAGGGTCCCACTCCTCCCTTCCCTCCTGTGTCCCCATCTGAGAAACAGGGTGGAACTGCCCAGCTAGGCTGATAGCTTACATTTCCTACCCATCTAACCCACTCCTGGGACTTTGTCCAGCTTTTCTTACTGTAAACCCAGCTCTGTGCACCTGCGGTGTACCCACTGCATCTCCTCCATGCCCCATTTTGTAACTGCCACTTAGCTAGCCCCGCTTCCACTGCATCTCCAGTGCTTTGCCCCCCTTATGGCAAAGTTAAGCTGACACAATGTGATAAAAGGTAGAACATTCTGACTTGAAGATTCTGAGCAGAGGCTCCGCCCCCCGCCCCTGCCGCCCCCATCCCCATCCCTCCAGGATATTGGTCCAGGGCTTTAGGGACATGTGGCTCTGGGGAGGGGGCTCTGGGAGGCACAGGCAGAGGACAACCATCTGGAGCAGCAGAGACTGCCAAGGAGCCTCTGTCCCTAGAGCTGGAACTGGGGAACACAGTGGAGAGGAGCCTGGGCCTGCTGGGCCCCTCACCCTCTTCTGTCTCCTGGGACTAAATGATGAAGGGGTTTTGCCCTCACTCCCCAAGGGTCTATTGCTATTGAGTCTCCCTTACCTCCCCACCGCCCCTGACCTTACCCCAACCTGTTCGGAGGTGGTGCCCTCACGCTGAAGCTAGCCTGAGCACGGTGGCCGCTGGCTGGGTAAGGTGAGAAAAGGCTGGCTTATAGCTGGCCAACTTCAAGGGACCCGTGAACTTCTCTGCCTTACAAGTAGGAGCCCAAGGGCAGGCCCCTACTCCCCAGGGGTGGGGCCCTGGTTTGTCACACTGTCACCCCCAGGTCACTGGGGGCTATGATGTGTGGTGTTGCCATAGCAATGAAGTAGGGGCAGGGCACCTAGGGCATGGAGCAGGACTATGGAAGCCACCAAGAAGTCAGGGGGCCATGATCCATCAGGCCCCCAGGGCCAGCCCTCGGCCAGCAGCCAGCAGATGAGGGATGGCCTCAGAGGATCACAGGGATTATGGATAAGCTCAGGATCCCTCGACTTCCAGCAGAGGTTGTCATCATTCCCTGAAGCCACCACTGATGAGGCCGGTGGCCCAGCTTCCCAGGCCCATATCCCTGAATCCATTCACCAGGTAAACCAGGACCCTGCTCCGCTTAGCTCCCCATGCAGCCAAGTGCAGGCCTCCCAGAACGCCCCAAGGCCCTCCTCAGCTAGCGCTTTTTCGAGCCACAGCGCGGGAGCCCAACAGCATCTGGTCAAGGACGACGGGACTCTGCACCTACCAGTGTGCAGGGTGAGAAACAGCACCAGCGACATGACCCAGCACGGATCCTGCTACTCCCGGCTTCAGGTGCAGCTTGGGCGGGAGGGCAAGTCTCCAGCGAAAGTCCTGGTAGGCTGGGGCAAGGGCCCCTGCAACACTGACTATATGGCCCCTGTGGGCACCAGGAAAAGTCGACGGCTACCCTACTTACCTTCAGGAAAGGATGGTGCAGCTCAAAACCAAAGTCTTCTGGCTTCAGCTCAGGCTGCAGCTCAAGATCAGAGGCAGGGCAATAGCCCATGTCCAACTCAGGCTCCTGCCCTAGGGGGGACTTCTCCACTGACACCAGCTCCTCCAACTCCAGCTGAGGCTACTAATTCAGCTCTGGATCCAACTCCTGCAGTCAAACCTTACAACTGTACCCTCGACCACCCCACTGGTAACACTGCAGTCACCAAAGACCTATCTCAAGACGTGACCCTCAAGAGATATGGCAATCAGAGTTCAGCCCTCTCAGAATCCGCCAACATGGTCACATCCAGCCCGGAAAAAGTGAATTTCTACTCTAATGGAAAGCCTCCTGCCTCAGTACCTACTCTAAAAATGTTCCCAGACTATGCCCAGGAGCACAAGGTTGCTGGAAGGCAGGTGCCATCTGAGCAGGCTGAAAACCTGGCAGAGAAGCCCTTGGTTTGTACCTCTAGGCCAGGTACCCTCAAACCAGACCCAGAGCCCCAAGGTACACCCAACTCCCCGAGGAATAACCAGAAGATTTGCAGCTCTCAGCCGGACAAGCAGCTCACCAATGTCTGCAACAGCAACTGCGCCAATGCGCCACCGTCTGCCTACCAAGTCAGCTGTCAGAAGCAGTTACCACCTCAGTCTCCCAGGGAACCCATGCAGATCTCCCCCTCCAGTGCCCCTACCTGTCAGCTCCAGGAAGGTGTGGAAGACTGTGTGCTGGTGTTTGACATGGCCACGGGCAACACCAGGATGGGGCTGCTGTGCCATGACCCTATGGGCTCACGGGCAGTGCTGGTGGGTTTCATGCCCAGCCACCCATCTGTCTATGCCCCTGAAAATATCCTACCCACACAGCCACCGTCCAGGCCCCTTCTCTCCCCTGCCAGCAATAATTCCAGTTTCTGGTCCACCACAGCCGTGTTGTCCAGCCCTGTGCCTTCTAGCCTTTCATCTGGCAGCTACCGAGAAGTGGCCCTGCTTCCCAAGGAAGCCAGACTTAACCTGCAGTCACAGAACTCCCCTGGTACTGAGACGCCCACCAGGGCTGAGATACTCACTGGGCCTGTTCCACTGGGAAGATCCCTCCAGTTTAGTGAGGAGGTACAGGCTCATGCTCCTGATCCCAGCTTACCCAAACCTGATGCCAAGGAAAATGAACTTGATCATACCATCTGGATGATGGAGTCCTCCAAGATTCAGACCACGGAACTGCCATGTGTGAGCTGTGCTTCACCAGCCAACACCCAGGCGGTGCCCACATCTCTGCACCAGCAGGATGTACGCAGCAACAACCAGAGAGACAACATGACCGCTTACACTAATAACCCTCCTGCTGAAGATGCTGAGCAGGCCCCTATCACTGGCCAGGCCTTCTACAATGGGCAGAACCTCCTTGCTAGACAACTACCTGCAACTGAACAGGGCTTGCTAATGGGACAGCCCCCGTCTACCAGGCAGACCCTCCTTACTAGTCAGCCCCCTTTCACTAGGCAGACTCCTTTCACCAGGAATCCCCTCATCGTCAAAGATACCCCCTTCTTGAGTGGACCCCTTACCTCTCAGGAGCCTGGCCAGCCCTCCACCCAGGATGGTGAGTCCCTGGGTCTACCTACCCATGTAGGGGTACTTCAAGTGCCACTGACCCCTCAGGAGACCTGTAGCTATGTGAATAGAGACAAGGTAGGCATTGTTAGCACTCAAAACCCCAGCATGTCTCAGCAACCTGGCAGCTGTCTAAGGGCAGAGGAGAAACAGCTTTCTCTGATCACATTCGCCACGCCTGGCACTGTTTGCAAAGTCTTGCCCATTACCGTGGTGGGCACCGAGCACCAGAGTGGGGGCCAGGTCAGTCCGACGGGTGAGGATATTACACACTCATCAGTGATTGCACAGCTTGGTCCTCTCCGTGGGGCATGCTATGAACTGGTGTCCACCTCGGAAGCCCTGTCCAGGCAGTCGTCAGCGCTTTGCCACCACGCACTGGGCCCCTACCAGGGCACGGCAGCAGTAGTGATTGACACAGGCATGGGATTCACCAAATGTGGACTGGCTGGAGAGGACCACATTCTCACCGTGGTACCCTCCCAAGTTCAGCGGCTTCAGCACCCAGCCCAGGGCCAGCCCCAGTATGCAGTCCCTGAAAACCAAGACGGCTCCTACCCGGTGCTGAACCGAGGGGTGGTCTCTGACTGGGATGCTTTAGAGGTACTGTGGCAGCACCTGTTCTACTGCAAGCTGGGGGTGCAGCCTGAAGAGCTGGCTGTGCTTGTGGCTGACTCACCCATCTCTCCGCGCACCAACCGAGAAAAGGTGGCCGAGATACTCTTTGAGCATTTCCATGTGCCAGCCATGCAGACAGTGCATCAGGCCCTGCTGGCACTCTACGCTTATGGGCGAACCACTGGGCTGGTACTAGGCAGTGGCCATGGCACCTCCTATGTGGCGCCCATCCTCACGGGGCAGTTGGCCCCATCTGACACCTACCGGCTGGATGTGGCTGGTGCTGACCTCACCAACTACCTGGCTCAGCTGCTGCAGGCAGGTGGCCACTCAGCACTCAAGACAGGGCTGGCCCACCAGATTAAAGAAGCTTGCTGCTATGTGGCCATGGACTTGGCAGCCGAGCTGGCCTACATCCAGGCCCAGAACCCAGTGGACTTCGTGCTCCCAGACAAGCAGGTTATCACACTGGGCTCTGAGCGCTTCTGCTGCCCAGAGGCTCTTTTCCAGCCCAGTCTGGTAGGCCTCAACCAGCCAGGCCTCCCACAGCTGGCCCTGCTAAGCATCAGTCGGCTGGAGACCAAACAGCAAGAGCAGCTGCTGGCCAACGTGGTGCTGGATGGGGGCAGCACCCTGCTAAGAGGCTTCCCTGAGCGCCTGAAACAGGAGCTGGGCCCTCACGCCTGTGTGCTGGGCTCTCCTCACCGTGCAGTTGCTGCCTGGCTTGGGGGCTCCATCATGACACGCAGGGACTCCTTCAAGAGCCTATGGGTCAGCCGCCATGAGTACGAGGAGGAGGGCCCGTGGGCTATCTATAAGTACCAGTTGTGAGCATATAAAGTTCTGGTTCTGCTTACTTTAAGTACTGGTGTATGTTTTAGGCAGAGGGTGCTACAGGGAAAGCAGGTGCCCAGGCAGGGGGCAGGGATGGAGGCCTTGGCCCTCCTAAGGCATACTCTGCCTCTGCACTTGCAACTCTATGGGCCTGGGCAACCTGCCCTTTCTGGAGAGCTCCAAGACTCCTGGCTAGCACTGGCTTTGGTCTGGCCTGACCTTTACTGCACCCCAAGGGCAACCATAGAGAGTGGCTGCTGTGGGTTTTGCCCCGTTGCCCTGACAACAAAGTACAATTACCCTTGATTGCCAGCTAGTTGCCATGGCAGTTTCAAACATAATGTAATAACCCACACAGCCTGGAGTGAGTCATGAGGTGGGGGGTGGGGGGAGCCCCTTCCCCTAGCTCCAGAAGGAAAGACTGTTTACCCTTCTTTATCGTAGGCCCTCTTCTGGGGACTGAAGCCAGCAACACGGACAATAGAAGCACAGTTCCAAAGATGGCTGGGGGCATGGGGCATTGACCCCAAGCGAAGGTGCCTTTTAGAGCTGGGCTTCTCGGGGAAGATTGCCTGGTAACATGTACCTTCTATCTGAATCTTGGCCAGAGCTCTATGCTGGGATGGGAGCAGGGTGGGGGCCTCTGTCCACCGGCAGAGTATGACGGCATGGGAATAATGGCCATGGGCCCTAGGACGGAGTGGAGAAGGTAGGTATACCCCGAACCCTGGATGGGAGGTGTCATCACCCGGGCATTGGGGGTGAGGCCCTGGCTGGCTTTCGGGGCTCTGTGGATACTGAGGCCTCTTGACTTTCTAGCTTTGGTGGGAGCCAGATGCACCTTCCACTCTTCCCTATCCTTCCAAGTGCAGTAGCTCCTGCCCACAAGGCGGTCAGGTTTCAGTTCTTGGGAGGGCTCGCAAAGAGGCCACGGAGCATTGCCGATGCCACTGCCTCTGTTCTTGTCTCAAAATCTGCCCCCGGCTTAAGGGCCTCCTGCCATCCCTGTGGCCAGGTGGATAGCTGGAAGTCATGTCCCCTGACTCCAGAAGGCTCTGAATAACGACAGCAGAAACAAGGCTTAGAGTTGGCCCATTCCATGGCCTAGAAAAGCTGAGAGGAAGGCATTCAGCTAGTATTACTGCCCCCTACCCAGAGGGCAGCTGGAGTTTGAGACCAAAACACTGAGGCCAGTCCTACCCTGCCTGTGCTTCCCTGGCCGGAGGCTAAGGGACATGCCATGCTTTTGGGGTGTTTTCTACAAACGACAAGGTTCTACCTACACTCACACACACCTAAGAGCGAGCAACTACCCCGAGGGGGAGCTTGGGAGAAGTCAATGGTGCATGGTTACCATAAACCCTGCCTGCCCTGGGTGTAGCCCAGCCTTATCCCAGGTCCTGCTCTCACAGTGATTCAGCCTCCACGATCCAGAGACTCGTGTGAGGCAGGAAGGGGCTCCCCAGCTCTAGGGACTGGCTGCAGCATCCACACACACGTGCCAGAAGCACGCCTGGGTGCACACTGAATGCAGACACACGTGCCCCTGGGCACCACTGCATACTCTGTGCTGTTGCCATCTCCCTTGGCAAGAGGGAACACACACGTGCGTGCACACACACTGCCACGTGCTGTCACCCACATGCACACACAGTGTGCACAGGACCACGAAGGGGTGGAGCGCTGCCAGCAGCAGGCAAGGCTCTAGGGAGCCACCCCTTTTCCTGCCTGCAAATCCCCACTCCGGCTTCTCCTTGGATTCACGCCTAGATAACCATGACCCTGAAAAGAGAAAGAAAACGCATGTGTGACACTTGTAGGGCTTGGCGACCCTGTACAACCCAGAGACCCACTGTTTTAAGGGCAGTGGGCACACGACAGGAAGGCCTGAGTGCCAAGCCATGTATTCATTTTGCAGACATTAGCTGAGCACAGTGAGATGAGAAGCAGCCTCTGCCCTACACACCCCAGCTTGCCAGGAGATTCCTACTCAACAGTGGGGTAGGTATTATGACCCAGAAACACTCAAATCCAGTCAGCCCAGAAGTGGCACCAGCCTGGTCTGGAGATGCTGACCCAATGCTACAGAAGGATACGAATGGCTCCTCAACGTCCTCTCTGGAGGAAGGTTTTTCTTTTGTTTTGTTTTGGGACAGGGTCTGGCTTTATAGTCCAGGCTGGCTTTGAACCTGTAGCAATCCTCCTGCCTCAGCCTCCCAAGTGCTGGGATTACAGGTGTGTGCCACCAGGCCTGGCTTTGTGGAGGAAGGTATTGAGGGCCTTGTTTAAGATAGTCATTTCCCACGCTGGTCTTCAGTCCCAGCTGTACCTTCTTCACTGGTATGGTCCATGCCATCAGCCACAGCAGCCATGCTGGGAGGCCTCACTCAACATGGCTGAAAATTTGGGGATGTCCTCATCCCCCCACACCTAGGGCAGGGCCAGAAGGCTCAGCAGGAGCCGGGTGTGGTCGTGCATGCCTGTAATCCCAGCACTCAAGAGGCTGAGGCAAGAGGATCGGTGCAAGTTCAAGACCAGCCTGGGCTACAAAGTGAGTTCAAGGCCACCCTGAACTGCATAGTGAGACTCAGTCTCAAAAAGACCGAAAAAAAAAAAAAAAAGAAGGCTAAGCAGGAGGGGTGGGGTGGGATGAAGCCAGCTTTTGGCATGGCAAGACCTAACTAAGCCTAGTCTCGGGTGGTGCACAGGGCCTGTGAGGGGAGTGGGGCCGGTGTTGAGTCTATGTACCTCCCTGCCAGAGGACAGAGTCACGGCGGAGGATTTCCTTCAGAGCTTCTTCCCTGCCGCTCTGAACGTCCTCCCTTGTCACAGGCCAGGCCTGGTGGGCCTTTGGTGCCGTAGTTCTCAGGTGTCCCTGTAGCCTAGCTCAAGAAGCTGCTCAGGAAGTGTTTGAGGGTGATTAGACTGAAAAGAAAGCAGACTCCTCACCACATCACAGGTGACTTCTTTTTTCTTTTTTTCTTTTTTTTTTTTTTGTGCTGGAGATTAAACGCAAGGCTATATCCCTAGCTCATTTTATTTTATTTTGAGACAGGGTCTACATTGCCCAGGTGGGGACTCCTGCCTGGGTCTCCCAAATCAGAGGTGACTTTTATAATTTGGGCAATTCAGCGTAGTGAGGAGGGGAGCACTGTGTCAGCCAACCTGGCTGCGACTTGCAGTGGGGAAAGACTTTGGCTTTGCAGGTGTTGGGGGCAGGATGGTCTGGAGGCTGGTACACTCCTGTGTGTTTACTGCACCTATATAGGGATGCCTAGCGGCTGCCCATGTGACTTTTCCAAGTGAATTTCATCCTTTGGGTCTGGGTTAGGGAGCTGGGCAGAGTCCCAGTCAGCTCTAGAACTCAGGCTTCGCCCTAGTGCCGCACTCCTGCTCCCGACCCTGGGCAGAAGAAGGCCCCTCGGGCCCCCGCCGCCGCCGCCGGGTCGGGAGTTCGAGTGCCCAAGGGAACCGCGGAGCCCGGCCAAGGCTCACCCGCTGCACCGCCAACCTGCTAGCGTTCTTCTCCGGCTGGGGTTCCAGCCTCCGGCTCCGTCAGGGTGGGGGCGGGCCGGGCAGGAGACCCCGCCCCCAGCCCGCCCCCGGCCCAGGGTGCGAATCCGCTGCCTGCAGGAGGCTGGCGATGCTGGGTTCGCGAGCCCGAGCGGCTGCAGCTGGCGCCGCGTCTGCCCCGCGTGCCCGGAGCGGATCCTGCTCTCGCCGCCCCCGGAGCCCCCCGGCGCCCTGCTGAGCCCGCGGCAGCCTCCTCCCAGTGACCGGCCGGCGCTGCAGGTGCGGGGCGGGGTGGGCTGGGACGGCGGGGGGCGCCTTCCGCACGGAGGTGGGGCTCGGGGGGTGGGCTCCCCGGCTCGAGGTTCCGGGCAGAGGGCGCGGGTCCCCGGGGGTCGCCGCGCGCGGGCTCTGCAGCGCGGGGGTGGCGTGCGGGGTCGAGCTGAAGTTCCCTTGGCTCGGACGGCCCCGGGGTCGCGGGGGAGCCTCTGCGTCTCGGGATGGTGGGGACATTAAAATTGAAAATTGGAGGTGTCCCGTGAGGGCAGGGGCCGAGGGCTGAGCGGTCCCCTCCCGGCGTCCCAAGCCGCCTCCAGCCCCTCCCAGCTGCCCCCGGCCCCCTCCCTCCTGCTTGGCAGTCACTAATTTCCATGACAACGAAGAGTTCCTCCTGGGCGACAACCCGAAGGGGGCTGGGCGGGGCTGCTGCGGGGTTGGGGGGAGAGGCTCCCGAGCCCTTGGGGACCCGCACCCCGCGGCCGCGTGCCAGCTTCCGAGCCCGCCAGGGGTCCTGGGCGCGGACCCACGTGCGCGGCGGGGGTGCGGGGCGCTCCCGTTCTTGCTGGGAGGTGCGGGGCTTGGCACTCACACGTGTGCCTCCCGCATGTGTGTCGCTGTGCCAGCGGGGGCGAGCCAGCAGCCCTGGTGAAGGGGGTCAGGGCGGCACCACGGTGGGGCCGGGGCTGGGGGTACAGTTAGAGGGGTACAGTGCCAGCGTGAGTTTCTGCTTCCCCAAATGTTAATGACTGTCAGAGACCCTGAGCTCTTAAGCCCCAGCACCCACCCACCCCCCAGCTCTGCCAACTGCTTCTGTCTGCGCCCCCGGTGGGCAGAGCCTGCTCCTCAAGTTCCTGCCTAAGGAGCAGTGGCCTCTGCCCTTTGCCAGAAGCTTAGAGTCTGCACCGGCCTAGCGCAGTCCTGGAACCTTCCCCCCGGCCCGGGATTTGAGCCCCCAGGACCATCTTCAGAGATCTGTGGTCCTCCCCCTCCCCCTCTGGTGATGCCTGTCAACTCCCTTGACTTCTGGACCTCAGTTTCCCCACTGGCCAAGCCGTCCCCACTCCTGGCCGTCAGGCTGGTCTCCAGGGTGGGGCAGGGGTTCCCCTTTTCCATCAGTTGGTGTAGACTCCCGGGAGCCCTAGGCTGGCTTTGCTCGCATCTGCCCCATGCCTGGCACTCTCACGTGCAGGCAGGCAGTTCCTTGCCCTGGGAGAAGGCCGGAGTCTGCGGTCTTTGCTCAGGAAACTGAGGCATGGGAGAGGAGGAGTTGTGCAGGTGCTGTTTCTGGCTCTCCTGACAAGATCTTGCGGGGTGCTTGTGACAGGGTGAAGGCGAGCTCAGGAGAGGCTGTGGAGGCAGCAGATGGAGGGTGGCTTTGACTGGGGGCCTAGGTGCAGCTGGGCCAGCTGAGAGGGATTGCAAAGGGCAGCAGCCCGATCTCCGAGACTCATTCCCATGCCCTCCATGCTGCCGTCTCCAACATGTTGGATCTCCTTTACTTAAGCTGCCCTAGTGACAGGGGGAGGCGGGGGCCTGCCGCAGCTGGCCGCCTCCCCACAAGGGGCCCTGAGAAGCTGGCTTCTTTTGCTATGCTTTCCACGCTGAGTTCAGGGTATGTATGGGGGACGCAGGAGGGTTCAGTCTCAAAAGTCCAGATACCAGGTTACCTTGTGGCCCAGGGATTCAGAGCACATGGCTGTGGTAGCCTCAGGGTGTTGCTGAGCACCCCAAGGCCCCTTCAAAGCCTCCTGCTTACCTTTCCCTTGCTCCACCCTGTGTCTTTGTCCCTTTCACTCTGTCCCCTCCTTGCTCTTCTGCCATCGCAGATTCGGCCTTTGTCTCTGTCTCTGTCCCTCTCTTTATAGAGTTTCCCTGTGCCCCCACCTTCTCTTCTTTGATAGAGACCAGGGAGACAGAACCCATGGGGAAGGAGCCAGGCCAAAGTGTCATGGAAGTCTTAAATAAGGGCCCTTGCTAACACATCTCCCTTCCCCCTCCCCTTGTTTTAAAACTTCCATCACCATAGCAACCCTTTACTCTAGTGCCTTCCGCAGTTCCCCTCCTCCAACCAAAGAGAAGCAGGGCCTCCAGTGGATTCTTCAGAGGTTCAAAGATTAGGACCCCAGGTTCTGTGATGGGGGCCATTGGCTCTTGGCTGTGCCTGCGTGTTGAGGGCTGAACTTTCTGGAGGTAGCACTGGACTGCATGCCAACCCCCAAGACTGGGAAAGACCCCCTCCTCCATACCCTGTCATAACGTGAAGGGAGTCAGCCCTAGGAACTATTGACCGTGGTTCAGCTGGTGGCCGGCCAGGGTGGCCCGCTATGCAGTCTCCTGAAGCAGATGGACTGTGAACTGGACCCTTGACTCTGTCTCCTGACAGCAGACTGTAAGGAATACTCTCCTTCCCTGGATGCTATGGCTGAGGCCTCAGCTGTGAGCTAGGCAGAGATTGGGCCCCTGGCATGTCCGTTTCAGCAGGAGACTCAGCCCTTGTCCCTGAGAGAAGAGAGAAGGGGAGGTGACGGGCTGCCCGCAGGCAGGTGTTCACAGCTGCCACTAAATCAGGAGGTGTTGCCAGCAGTGCCTGGGGCAGCTGGGAGGCTCGTGGGCCCCTCCTAAGCTCTGTAGCTTTACTGCAAGCTCTGGAGCTCCACATGGCAGGGTGGCAAAAAAACGCTTGTTTATGGCTATGAAAGATGGGTTTGAACCAGGCTGACCCCAGGGGAGGAGAGGAGAGGACTCTGAATGTTGGGCCTCTTGGTTTCTGTTTCACTTAGGCTTCCTCAGGGTCGGACTTGACTAAGGTACAGTGGCGCCCCTAGAGGACCCCTGATTACTAGGACAGGAAGGGCCTGAGCCTCCAGTGCCCAGTCCTCCAGTCCCTGAGGCTCCAACCTCCAGCCCCGTGGTCAAGCCTTGGGAGCAGGCAGGAGCTGGGGAGCGCTGAGCCCTCTGTCTCGCTAAGAGCCTGCCAGAGGGCAATGGCAGGGCCGGGCTCTGCACTCTTCCAGCAGCCGCTCGGGTGGTCCCAGCTGCACGCTGTTTATTTCCTGTGCATAGAGAGGCGGGAACCAAGTCTCCAGGGAATGGTTGCTTTGAGGCGCCTGTGCTCTCTAGGGGCCAAGGTGGACCCGATCTGTGGTAGAGCGCAAATCCCTTGTAGCTGGGAGGGAGCTCACCATTGTTGGGTGTTGGGTCTGGGGTATGGGCGTAAAGAAACACAAAGCCCTTCTGCCCAGTCAAAACCGTTATTAGTGCCACCCCTTGGCTGTTGCTCCAGTTTTGGGTCCAAGACCACTCTTGCTGCAGACAGCTGCTAGAGCTTGGTTTAGACAACATACAGCCTCGCAGGGATAGCAGGAGATGGAGTGGATGGAGGTGGGGGGGGGACAAAGGTGCTAATTGGAAGCATGGCTCCCTTTTCTCCCCTCTTCACTCAGGAGCTAGGTCTAGGGGCACAGGTGAGGACAGGCTGAGATCAGGGCAGCTATACTAATAGGTAGGGGCAGCAGATCTGTCCCTGTTGCAGCATTGAGGTCTGTAGGACATGGCCCCAGGCTGACCATACCACAGGCTTTCCGTGGTGGACACAGACTCCAGGACCAGACGTAGACGCCCATGGGCATAAGTGCATATGCAGAGCCAAAAGCTGAGACCAGGATCAGGGACAGGCATACACAAAACCTCCCACCCACACGGTGCTCACAGAGCAGGAGCTGTTGGAATGGGGGCGGCAGGTGGGGAAGGTGTCTCAGAGAAAGGCCATTTTGCACCTGGCCTTGGAGCATCAGGATTGTTTTGGACAATTTGTTTTGCAGACAATCATAATGTCAGAAATCACAATGAAGAGAGATTCACCTCAGGTCTTAGCACCTCAGCTCCTGCGGAAGCTGCTCCACAAGGAAGCCAAAGTGGGCAGTACCTTGGCCAGGGCCCACACTTCCTGCTACTAAGTGGACACAGAGCTGGAAAGTCACCTGTTGTTGGACAAGGCAGTTGCTAGTTTTTTTTTTTTTTATGTTATAAATAACTGCTGTGACAAATAGGATTCTGATGGGAGGCTTTGGGGGAAGGGCATCTGTGTCAGAAGGAATGGTGTTAGCAAAGCAGCTGAGCTGGGAGACCTGCGGGCTAAGGCACTGCTCTCCTGCCCGGTACATGGTCCCCGCAGTCAGCCTGGGCGGGCAGCTGCAGCCCGTCAGAGTGCGTGAGGACTGACGCCGCCCTCCCCACCTAGATGTTGTGGCGTGGGGACGGGTGGCCAGCAAGAGTGGGTGGCTGTGCCTCTGCTCTGAGCTGTGAGGATGGAATTCCAGCCACATGCTCCTCTCCAAAGACATGCAACTGGTAATGATCTTCAAAGCCTCTTTCAACTGTCTCTGAGGTGCCTCGCTAGACAGCTTAAGCCCGGACTTTAATCACGATGATGAAATGCGTTTGTATTCCCGGAGCCCAGGCGGCCCGGATGAAGGCGGGATGGAATCTGTTCACTAATGTGGAGGGCACATTGAGAGAGGACCAGCAGGGCTGTGATCCCTGGGAACTGGGTGGCTAGCTAACCTGCGCCTGGGAGGAAGTGAGGGACCGTCAGGGCTGGCCACAGTGCAAGACTGGGTCCCGGTCTTTGACCCCTGCTGGCATAGTGCTTGCCAAGCTGCCTGGTATCTGAGGATACCTTCTTCTCTACTACCCTGAGACTGAGTGCCTTCAGGCAGAGGAACATCTGGGTACGTGAAGCCCCAGCCCAGGCCCCGCACAGAGCAGGCGCTGGTTGGTATGGTGGGAACACACGCAGTCCCTAGAGACAGAGCAGCTTGGTGTAGCCCAGACTCTCCTTGACCAGGCACTGTGGAGGCAGAACTGGCCAGGTCTGTACAGGTCTACACACAGCCACCGCTGCCTTACCCTGAACAAGGGCTGGCAACGCCTTTTCTTCTGGGTGCCTGAGCAGCCCTCTAGATGAGAACTGGGCTGTAACTGGCAGGGCTGCAGCCCTGGGCAGCACCAACCCCAGCTGCAGAGTGCCTGGAGCCTACTGAGCCAGCCATATCTGGCCAGGTCCCTGTGCCTGGATCTGACAGCCAGCTCCTCTGTGGGCTCCTGCACTGAGGTGTTTGTTAGGCAGGCTTGTCTCGCTCTTGCTGTCACCCGTCTCTACCTCCTGGCAAATCCTTTCCCTCAAGACCCAGCCCAAATGCTGCCTTTCTACTCAGATGGTGCTTCTCCCTTAGAGGAACACCCCACCAGCATCGTGCCAGAGTGAAAGATTTACTCAATTAATCAATGTCATCATAGTAAAAATTCTAATGGAAAATTAATAAATACTGTAAAAGTTCTGAATCTTCCCCCTCCACATCCAATTCTTTGCCTCAAAGAGAACTCTTATTTCCTTTGATGTCCTTCCAGAAAAGAGTTTGTGAAGCCAGGCAGGTGTGGTGCTCACACTTGTAATACCACCACTGTGGGAGACTGAGGCAGGAGGATCACAAATTCTAACCCAGCCTGAGTAACTTAGCAACTTAGTGAGACCCTGTCTCAAAATGTAAAAACAAATTTTTTTTTAAAGGGCAGTGGGTATAGTTTAGTGTGAAAGCCCTGGGTTCAATGCCTAGTACCACCAAAAGAAGAAAAAGAAAGTTGGTGAGTGTCCACCAACGTATGAACTTTAAAAAATTTACCCAAATAGCAACACCCTTTACCCACCATTCTGCCCCTTGCCTTTTCACTGACCGTCTCTCCTATAGCAGCACACTTTATTTTTCATAACAGCTACAAGTATTCTTTAGTGTGAGTGGCCCTAATTTTTATTGACTTTTTTATTGTTAAGTACACTAAAAAATCTAGGAATGTTCCCAAAATTTGTATGTGCATTTTTACAAATTATTAAAAAGCACAAATCTGTGTAACTATCACTGGGGTCAGAAACAGACCCTCCAAACCAGGCATGGTGGTGCACGCCTATAATCCCAGCACTCGGGAGGCTGAGGCAGGAGGATCGCTGTGAGTTTGAGACCAGCCTGGGCTACAAAGTGAGCTCAAGGCCAGCCTGAACTGCATAGCGAGACCCTGTCTCAAAAAAAAAAAAAAAAGGGGGGGGGGGAGGCTGGGGATTTAGCTCAGCGGCAAAAAGCGCCTGCCTGGCAAGCGCGAAGTCATGAGTTCGGTTCCCGGTACCGGAGAAAAAAAAAAAAAAAAAAAAAAAGAAAAAGAGAGAGAGAGAGAGAAATAGACCCTCCAAAAGACCACCATATGTCTTAACTCAGCCACCACCTCTCCTTTGTCTTAGAAGGAACCATTTATTACTTGACTGCTGGTGCTTATTCCTTAGGGGTTTTATTTTATTTTATTTTTTATTTTTGAGACAGGATTTCTCTATGTAGTCCAGGCTGGCCTCAAACTTGAGGCAATCCTTCTGCCTCAGCTTCCTGAGTGCTGTGATTACAAGCATGCACCTCCGCACCTGGCTCCCTAACTTTTCTTTAGAGTGCTACTTCTGGTTTATATCCCTAAATTGTATAAGTGAGTTCTACTTGATTTTGAGCTCTATTGCAATAGACTCATACTGTATGTATCCTTTTGTATTTTTTTCCCTTCAACTCTGTCCTCAAGATTCATCATGCATTTGGGTGTAGCTACAGCACCTTCATTTTCACTGCAATGTAATAATCCATTGTGTGACTACAGCACGATACATCCTGCTGATGGTGGATATTTGGGCTGTTTCCAGTTTTGGGCCATTATGAATATGGCCATCATGAGCACTTTTCTGTAATTGTCCTGAGGCACAAATGCATGCATTCATATATATATATATATATATATATGTGCGTGGGGCATGCTGTCTGACCAAACTATTTTACAGAGGGGAGAGTTGCCATCTACCAGAGGTGCTTGTATTGTCCACATCTTCAGGGATGAGTATCTGGTGGGTAGATGGTTATAGCCCCTTCATTTATGAAATAGCTGAAGTTTAAAATACTGTTTGGCAAGTCTTTTTAACTATACAGTAGGCATATTCCCTGATATGTCAGCCTAATATACTTTTCCTCAGAGGGTGCTGCTGTAGTTTAGGGAGCCACACTGAGTGGCTGGATGTGTGACCAGAAAAGCAGCGGACGTCACTCAGCCTCTCCACCCTTGAGCTGGCGCCGTACCTGCTGTGGCACGGCCTGAGGCAGGTGTGATGCTGTGGGGAGCTGTGAGGCGCGCTGAGTCAGACTCTGTCTTGCCCACAGCTTAGAGCCTGGCAATGCCGTTTGGGTGTGTGACTCTGGGTGACAAGAAGAACTATAACCAGCCATCGGAGGTGACTGACAGATATGATTTGGGACAGGTCATTAAGACGTAAGTGCTGGGCCTGTTGGGGCAAAGGTGGGTGGTGGCCAAGGGCTGGCTGGGAAAGGGGGAATGGGGCAGACCCCAGGCCGGAGCCAGGGCTGACCGGAGTCCCTGCGGCCGCAGGGAGGAGTTCTGTGAAATCTTCCGCGCCAAGGACAAGACCACGGGCAAGCTGCACACCTGCAAGAAGTTCCAGAAGCGGGATGGGCGCAAGGTGCGGAAGGCGGCCAAGAATGAGATCGGCATCCTCAAGATGTGAGTGTGAGGCCTGGGGTCGGGCTGGGGGTGCTGCGGGGAGCCTTGGAGGGCAGGTAGCCTCAGGCAGCAGCAGCCTCTGGTGACCAGGTCTGTGCTGAAGCTGCAGGCCACCATTCAGTCGCCAGTCCAGCTCACTCGGCTCTATCCACTGGCTCCTCTCCTTGTCCCCAGGGTGAAGCACCCCAATATTTTACAACTGGTGGATGTGTTTGTAACCCGCAAGGAGTACTTCATCTTCCTGGAGCTGTGAGTGAGGGCCTGGGGTCCCAGGATTCCCAGTCCCCGGGCTTTTACCTGTCCTGTCCTCTGCACCTGAAGAAAGTCCCCTTTCTGGACCCCAGGGGTCCCCAGTCCCTGTACCTTGCCCAGCCAGCTGCCTGGTGCAGGAAGCCCTCCCAAATGCTCCTGCCTGACCTGATCCTTCCCACACCGGGCTCAGGGGCTGGTGTCCCTCAGGGCCACGGGGAGGGAGGTGTTTGACTGGATCCTGGACCAGGGCTACTACTCGGAGCGAGACACGAGCAACGTGGTGCGGCAGGTCCTAGAGGCCGTGGCCTACCTGCACTCTCTCAAGATTGTACACAGGAATCTGAAGGTGAGGCCAGGCCCGGGGTCTCTGGTCAGTTAGCAGCCGGCTGGGGCTGGGGTGGGCAGAACCTTGGGGCCTTGGTCCAGCCTCTGAGGCCCTCATGGTGTCTTCTGCTCACCTACATGCGTTCCGGGCTGGAGCAGTTAGAGAACCTGGTTTACTACAACAGGCTGAAGAACTCGAAGATTGTCATCAGCGACTTCCATTTGGCTAAGCTGGAAAATGGCCTCATCAAGGAGCCCTGTGGGACCCCTGAGTATCTGGGCAAGCAGGGCTGGGGCAGGGTGAGGGGGGCAGACATCAAGGAGACTCTATGGGTAGGAGGAAGTTCCTATCCCAGGAAGAGGGTGTGGATGGTATTGGACCTGGCCACGCCTGGTACTGACCAGCAGGTGGACACTGTGTTTGTAGCCCCAGAGGTGGTAGGACGGCAACGATACGGACGACCTGTGGACTGCTGGGCTATTGGTGTCATCATGTACATTCTGTGAGTGGACGGGTAGACAAGTAGGCTTGCAGCCAGGTTGGGGTGGAGGGCCTGTGCCTGGGCCATCCTGGGTGACCCTGCCCCCATGCAGGCTTTCAGGCAACCCGCCCTTCTACGAGGAGGTGGAAGAAGACGACTACGAGAACCATGATAAGAATCTCTTCCGCAAGATCCTGGCTGGCGACTACGAGTTTGACTCTCCGTACTGGGATGATATTTCTCAGGCAGGTGAGGAGGTGCCCAGCATGTGGGTAGAATATAGGGTAGTAGGGAGGGAGGTGCTGCTCTCAGCTTCCTCTGCCAGATTCTGCTGCTGCCCCCAGCCCATTTAGTCACCTCTAGACGATGAGCTGGGGTGCCGTGCCTAGCCTCTCCCTGGCTTTATCTCTAGCCAAAGACCTGGTCACAAGGTTGATGGAGGTAGAGCAAGACCAGCGGATCACTGCAGAAGAGGCCATCTCCCATGAATGGTGAGCAAGCCCGGCAGAGGACGAAAGGCCCTCTCTGCCATTTACACTGAGAAACCTCCACCTTGAGGTCTTAAGTGAGTCGGGGCGCTTAGAGCTCAGGCCAGCCCGGAGGCTTTGCCTGGTGCAGTCCTGGATCGCACAGGGGTGGGCAGGACAGGGTCTCCACAGAGACCCATATCCCTCACAGCCACGTGCACCTGGACCCTTTCCAGGATTTCTGGCAATGCTGCTTCTGATAAGAACATCAAGGATGGTGTCTGTGCCCAGATTGAAAAGAACTTTGCCAGGGCCAAGTGGAAGGTAAGCTTTGGTGACTGTTTGCAAGTGCTTCTCCTGATACAACTGGTACCACATGCCTGCAGCCATACGCAAGCTTTCCATAGGCTGCCAGGTGTGGCTGTAGCCACTGTCATTACCCTCAGCAGGAGTACTGACGGGTAAGCGGTCAGAGGCAGCTGGCACACCACGAAAGAGGTTAGATTGCGTGATTGCCAAGAAATGGATCCAGCAATTCTCACCCCGAGCCTTTCCCCACTGCTTCCTTCCAGAAAGCTGTCCGGGTGACCACCCTCATGAAACGGCTGCGGGCGCCGGAGCAGTCTGGCACGGCTGCCTCAGCCACAGATACTGCCACCCCCGGGGCTGCAGGTGGGGCCACAGCTGCTAGCGGAGCTGTCCCTGCCTCAGGGGGCAGTGCTGCTGCAGCCACAGGGGGAGATGCCCTGTGTGCTGCCAAGAGTGATAATGTGGCTTCTGCAGACCGTAGTTCCACCCCGGCCACAGATGGCAGCACCACTCCAGCCACCGATGGCAGCGTCACCCCGGCCACTGATGGCAGCGTCACCCCGGCTACTGATGGCAGCGTCACCCCCGCTACTGACAGGAGCGCTACTCCAGCCACTGATGGGAGAGCCACGCCAGCCACAGAAGAGAGCACGGTGCCCACCACTCAAAGCAGTGCCATACCAGCTGCCAAGGCAGCTGCTACCCCTGAACCGGCTATGGCTCAGCCGGACAGCACAGCCCTAGAGGGCATCACAGGCCAGGTTCCACCCTCTAGTAAAGGGGAAGAGGCTGCTGGCTATGTCCAGGAGTCTCGGAAGGAGGAGACCAGCTGAATGGGTAGCCTGTTGGGGGGTTGGGGGGCTGGCAGGAGGGTGGGAGAGTGGATGAGGGGCTTCTCACTGTACATAGAGTCGCTGGCATGATGCCCTTGCTCCCCCAAGTCCCCCATCCCAGTGGGGCATGCCTGGGGGTCGCAGGAGAGCAGTCTCCTCTCCTGTGTGTATGTGTATGAGTGGTGGGTAGGCCAGAGGCAGGGCCAGCCCCAGCCCCTGCATGGATTCCTTGTGGCTTTTCTGTCTTTTGCTAGCTTCTCCAGTTTCTGTTCCTTGTGGGATGCTGCTCTAGGGATACTCAGGGGGTCCCTGCTCTCCTCCTTCCCTTCCTGCCTCATCATTCCCCCAGGCAGGCCCTGCAGGTCCCATATTTTCCTAGGCCCTATATTGGGCGGCCTTGCCCTGAGAGCTGGTCTTCCAGCGAGGCCCTGTCAGTGGTCATAGGCTCCTGAACACGAAGGTGTATACCTGTGATGTGTGGGCTGCTCCTGGAGTAGACATTGGCCAGAACAGAGGATGCAGAAATCTAGGGCATTGTGCTTTACATCAAGACGGGTCACATGGCTGGGGGCACTGCATGCTAGCTGTGGGGGTCCTCAGAAGTAGGAGAGAATGGGTAGGAGGGCGGAAGCTTCCACATTTGGGGGAAGTGTCTCTGGGAAGGCATTCCTAAGACTCTTGTGTTATTTCTTGCCTGCCTGAGCCCTGCAGTGCATTGCCCTGTACCTTGAACCTCATGAGCTTTTAATGGAAAGGAGGAGCAACTAAGATGTGGCAATGAGACCTGGGATAGCAGAGTACAGCCCCAGTACCTTCTTGTCCAGCCTAGCTGGGTCCTTACCCTGGGCCAAACAGGTAGGGCTGGCTGATATCCCCATGCTTTTCCTAGATGCCCAGCCTGCAGAGGGTCGACCCGTAAGTCCTCTCCATCCTAGGGGGCCTGCTGCATGTGGGTTTGCCCTTCGCAGGGGCAGATTGTCTACCCTCAGTTTACCAACATGGAGAGGATGACCCTCCGCTGTTTTTACTGCTTGCTTTGATCAGAGGTCTGGGTGCCTCAGCCACGTTAAGTTGCTTTTGCTAAGATGAGGAAGTGGAGTAAGACTCCGGTTCCCTGAGGAGGCTCCTGAGGGGCGCCCTTTGTCAGACTGTACCACAGCCTGGACAGGCAGCCATACTGGTCCTCGCCCTTGCTCGGCACTCTGGTGGCCCTGCCCCTCTCCATGCATGCCTATAGGTCTGCTCTGGTATGTGAAGGTTGGTAGGCTGACTGTGTGCCTGCTGAATCTGGCAAATAAACGTCACCCTGCAAAGCCTCTGGCCACCCTCTCGCCTTTGCTTCCTCTGTCATACCGAGGAGGAGTCCCTAGCAGGCACTGGGGAGGGGAGAGTCTGAGAGAAGGTTCACAGGTAGTGACTGATGCTCAGTGGATTGCTTGGGCTGAGAAAGTCACTCCGCAGTGCATGCCTTGAAGGTGGTGGTGGGGATCCTCTGGACTCTTCAGTACATGTGGGTGGTGAGTCCTGGGCTAGGTTTGGGCCAAGGAGTAGCCCCTGGGCTGAGAGCTCAAGTAGGGGTTGCTGTTCCAACTCTATTAACCAAGAAGCCTTTGTCCGAATTTGCGGATAGACCTGGAACTCACCTAGGGCCAACCACCACAGGGAGAGAGCTCCAAAATAGGGCTGGGGAGGGGGTGTAGGGTGGGCACTGCACAAAGGTTCTGTGCTGTGTGTTGATTCCTGCTTCTTGTGAACACCTGTGCTTTCTACATAGGCCCAAAAGATTTTGCTCTGTCTTCTTCAGCAGGAGCAGATCAGCTTTATGATATGGGGCTCTGCATAAGATTTCTGGGGAGAGGGAGTAATATTGCAAAGAACAGCGTGAAAAGCCCTCTGGAGTCTCATTTCAGTTCAGATGGGCCTCAATGAATTCACCAGGGTCGCTGCTTTCTCAGGGAGGACCTCAAAGATAACTTCTATGATGTGGGAATAATAAAAAGGGTTTGTTAGTCCCTGGTCTGTGAAGTATCTGTGTCTTCAAAATTGCAGTCTTACTATAGTCCCAGGCAAAAGGAATCCTGGGAGTTAAGGTCTAAATTAGGGTACTGGCACTAGTATCCCCAAACCTGGGAATTATTAGGTCTTTCTTGGATAAAACCAAGGTTAACCTGGGGTGTACCCTGAGTTGGGACTCATGTATCCATCCTGCCGAGATTACTTGTAACCGAAAGCTAAGAGCGTGAGGCCTTATTTTATTTGGGGAACTATGAGATAGTTGCCAGCACGCGGTCCAGCTCTGCCCAGAGGCCTGGGGACCCAGCGGGACCATCATCCCATTCTCTTGGGGCTGCAGTCTCCCAGACTGTCCCGAGTGCAGAACCGAGGTGAGAGCTCAGGCCTGGCCCGGCCCGCCTTGCGCCAAATGTGGCTTGGGACCACAACGCCCGGCCTTGCCAGGGATAAGGGTCCAGCTGGCGGCGTGACTGCTCTCGGCCCCAAGCCAACGCAGCGCTCCAGTCCTCTTTGGAGACGCCGGGCCCAGGACCCTTTACACCTACTGGCCGCTAGGCCCCGCCCCTGGTTCCGCCCCCTGAGCGATCATCCAATCAGGCCCAGGAATAAAGATTGCTGCAGCGCTTCGGGGTCGTCATTTCCGGTCCTCTCCCGGAAGTCGCGCAGTGGAGCCAAATTTGAAGCCTGCGGGGAGGCGGGAACGCGGCGGTGCAGCTGGATCTGGAGCGGTTTCCTTAGCTGCCTGGGCCGCTGGCGTCCTGCCGTCATGCCTATCCGTGCACTCTGCACTATCTGCTCCGATTTATTTGACCACTCCCGTGATGTAGCCGCCATCCACTGTGGCCACACTTTCCACCTGCAGTGGTGAGTGACGGTGGCGTAGGGGCCTGGCATTCTCCCTGGTACAGCTTCGGGGTCAGGGGGCATCAGGCCCGCAGGCAATCCGTCCTCGCAGCCCAGACAGACGATGAGGACCTCATTAGCAGAGCCCCACGGGAGCTTCCCCACCTGGGTTTAAGGGGGTCAGGCGGAAGCTATAGCTGAGTCAAGCCGGGAGGAATGTAGAGGCGGCGCGGGCGCGGGAGGGCATTGGTCCTGTAAAGAGAGTAGGTGCTTCTTTGACCACCTGTGCAGGGATGTGACTTCAAAACTATTAGCCTAGGCGGAGGTGAATTGTGACCATATTAACGAACCCTAGTGGTAGGGTCTGTGCCGGGCGTGGTGGCGCACGCCTATAATAATCTTGGCACCTGGGAGGCTGAGACAGAAGGATCGCCCCGAGTTTGAGACCGCCTGGGCTCCACAGTGAGTTCAAGGCCAGCCTCAACTACTTAACGAGACCCTGTCTCAATAAACAAAACAACAACAAACCCTGGTAGCTTCTGGCAACCTTCAATCGTTTATTGTGGTTTGCCTGACTTGCCTGACAGTTTGGATTGATTCTATACGGACTCATCTTATTGACCAGACACCCCAGTGTTATTCACCATCCAGCAAACCGAGCTTTACCTGGAAAGGCAAGGAGATGCTTCCCTGTCAAGGGGTCCCGCTGACTGTGAGGGATCATTTTGGTGAACATACAGTAGTGGGGAAAGATGCTAGCAGTTGTGGACAGGCTAATTTAGAGCTCCCAGCGAAAGAGATAAGGCAGAGGGACCACTGGACATGGTGGGAAGCCTTGTGAAAAAGGCACAAAGGTGGTGCCTTGCCCCTTGCTTGGAAAGCTTTGTCTAAACTGTTCATTTCTTGATAGACCTTGAGTTGTTTCCACATTTTGATTACTGTGAATAATGCTACTATGAACAGTGTACGCACATCTGTTTGAGTTCCTGTGTGAGTTCAATTATTTTGGAAATGTACTTGAGTGTGAAAAAGCCAGGACATATGGTAATTCTATGCTTAGCTTTTGGAGGAATTGCCATACTACTTTCCACAGCAGCTGTATCTCCCTGACAAGGACTTGGTCTCCCCCCACCCCGCCCCGCCCCATTACAGAGACTTGAACCTGGGAGCCTTCTACTACTGAGCCCCATCCCCAGCCGCTTGTATTTTCTTATTTTTTGAGACAGGTTCTCACTAAATTGTCCAAGCGGGGGACATAAACTTGCACTCCTGCCTCAGCTTCCCCAGTGCAGGAATTACAGGTTGGCTAACTAGCTAGCTGGCTTGCTTGCTTTTCTTTTAAGACAGTTCTCACTATGTTGCTCAGGCTGGTCTCAAACAACTGATTGATTTTTTTTTTTTTGGTACCAGGAATTGAACTCAGGACCTTGCGTTCGCTCACCAGGCAGGTGCTTGTGCCACTGAGCCATATCCCCAGCCCTTAATTGATTTTTTGATGCTAGGGATTCAATCTATGTTTTCTTGCATGCTTAGCATGGGCTGTACCTCTGAGCTATATATTCCCACCCCATGCATCATTTTAAATTTCCACCAAAAATACATGAGAGTTCTAATTTCTCTACATCCTTGATAATGCTTGTCATTTTCCTTTTTTTTTTCTTTTTTTTCAATTCTGGGGACCAAACCCAGGAACTCTCACATGCCTGGCAAACACTCTACTACTGAACCAGTCCCCCAGACTCATAACTATCCCAGTGGGTACAACATGGCATCTATTTTTTTAATGGTGGCAAAATATGCAAATCATAAAATTACCATCTTTATAATTATTAAGTATACAATTCAGTGGCATAACATACATTCACATTGTTGTGCAATTGTCACCATCATTTTAAAACCTTTTATTATTTTCCCCAATTGAAATGCTGCACCTCTTAAACAGTAACTCCCAATCGTCCCTTGCCCCAAAGCTCTAGTAACCACCATCTTACCTTACCATCTCTGTGAATTTGGCCTCTCTAAGTACCTCCTGTGAGTAGGACCATACGATGTCTTTTGTTTTTGTTCAGTTTATTTCATTTAGCATAATGTCTTTGAGGTTTATTCATATTATGTGTAGCATGTGTCAGAATTTTTTTTTCAGTACTGTGGATGAATCTAGGATCTCGTGCTTGCTCTGCCACCAAGCTACATTCTCAGCCCTTTGTAAATGTTTGAGACAGGGGCCTCATATGAGGTGCCCAGGCTGGCCTCAAACGTGATGCTTCCGTGTCAGCCTCCCGAGCAGCTGGGGCTATAAGTAGAGCCTCTCACATCCAGCAGAATCTGTTTTTCCTTTTTTTTTTTTTCTTTACCATTGAGAAATATTCCATTGTATGTGTATATCCATTTTGTGTACCCATTTGTCTATTCATGGATATTTGAGTTATTTCCACATTTTGGCTATGCTATTAATGTTTCTGTTTGAGTCCATTTTGTTTTGTTTTGTTTTATTGTTTTGTTTCGTTTTGTTTTGAGTCCCTGTTTTCAGTTCTTTTGGGTGGAATTAGTGGATCATATAGTATTATTCTATGTTTAACTTTTTGAGGAACTGCCGTACTGTGGCTGTGTCATTTTGCATACCTACCGGCAGTGTATGTGGATTCCGAGTTCTCTACACCTTACCAACTCTTTCTTTTTTTCTTTCTTTCTTTCTTTTTTTTTTAAGACAGGGTTTTGCTGTGTCGTCCAGGTTGGCTGGGCTCATGATCTTCCTGCTTCCATCTCCTAACTGACAGAATTACAGGCATATGCCACCATGCCCAGCTTTTTTTTTTTTTTTTCTGGTACCGGGAATCGAACTCATGACCTTGCGCTTGCCAGGCAGGCGCTGTGCCGCCGAGCTAAATCCCCAGCCCCAGTTATTTTTTTTTTTAAAGGATGGCTTCTCTTGTTCTATGCGTTCATAATTATTGGCTTCCCTCTTATCCCCTCTTTGACTGTGTCTCCTAAGTTCTGGTATGTTGTGTGTCCAGTTTCATTCATCTCAAAAAATTATTTTTAAATTTCCTTTGTGATTTTTTTCTTTGACTCATTGGTTGTTTAAGAATGTATTGTTTCATTTCCTTTCATGGCTCATGGCCTCTTTCTGACTCTGGTACTCCTGTCTCTGTCTCACTCTTTTTTATTTTTTTTCCACTTTTGGGGATTCAATCCAGGCCCCTCACACTGAGCTACATCTCCAGATCGTTTTATTTTTGACACGGTCACACTAAATTGCCCAAACTTGTGATCCTCCTGCTTCAGCCCCCTCGAGTTCTGGGATTATAGTGCACACCATGCCTGGCTCCTATCTCACTCAGTAAGGGCCTTTGTGATAATCTCTGCATCTCAGGAGCTGGAGTGGAGCTCAGTGGTACAGCATGTGCTTAGTATGCTGGAAGCCCTGGCTTCAATCCTCAGCACTGGAAAAGAATAACCAAAAAAAAAAAAAAAGTAAACAAAAAGCTCTTAATTGCAAAATTCCTCATAATGTGACATATTCACAGGTTTTAGATATTAGGTTGTAGACTCTTTTGGTGGTGGTAGTAACATTATTCTACCTACAATTTTCTTTCCAGAACTCCCATTTATAAATGTGCTACACCTTCTCAGATTATTTTTTTGGTACTTGGAATTAAATTTGCAACCTTGTGCTTGCCAAGCAGGTACTGTGCCACTGAGCTATATCCCCAGCAATTTTTCTTTTTTTTTTTTTTCCCCCAGCAATTTTTCTATGTCTTATCAACTCTATATTTTCTTACCTTCTTAATTCTTAATATTTCCTTTGACCTGTCTTTGAGTTTACAATTCCTTAGCTATATTAAATCCACTTGTTGACTTCTTAATTTTGGCCAGTTTTTAGTTGCAGAATTTTCGACTTTCAGCTGGGTGTGGTGGCACATGTCTGTAATCTCAGCACTCAAGAGGCTGAGGCAGGAGGATCACTGTGAGTTGGAGGCCAGCCTAAACTGCATAGTGAGGTCTAGGCTAGTATGAGACTCTGTCTCAAAACAACAAAAACAACAAAAAAAAGAATTTGTGACTTTCTGTTTTTGCTTTTCTTTTTTCTTTTCCTTTTCTTTTTCTTTCTTTTTTTTTTTTTTTTTTCTGTCTTTTTGAGACAGAGTCTCGCTCTGCAGTTCAGGCTGGCCTTGAGCTCACTTTGTAGCCCAGGCTGGTCTTGAACTTGCACCAATCCTCCTGCCTGAGCCTTCCAAGTGCTGGGATTACAGGTGTGCATCACCATGCCCAGCCATTGCTTTTCTTTTTTTAAGATGCAGTCTCGTCATGCTCCCCAGGCTGGTCTCCGATTCAGGAGTTTAAGCTGCCTAATTCCGTTGGATTCTTTTTAAATTTTGCAGTGTCACCATTTAGTTGCTAATTCTGTACTGATATTCCAGACTTGGTTTTTACTTGTTTAGCATGATGTGTTTGGTCTGTAGCTGACAATTCCAATACCCGAGGGCTTTGTGGACATGTTCTTCTGGTTTGTGCTTGTAGTGCTTTCTTCCCTGTGTGCCAGTTTACATTTTAAGCTTTTTTTCTATTGAAGTATAATATAGTTACAGAAAAGTACACGTGACCCTCAGAATTTTCACAAATAAGCACATCCATGCAGTCAGAATTCATTTCAAGGAAGAGGATATTGGGCCAAGGTATAGTTCAGTGGTAGAGCACTTGCCTAGTACACAAGAAGCCCTGGGTTTGAGCCCCAGCATTGCAGGAAGGAAAGAGGAAGAAAAGAGGAAAGGGAGCAAAGAAGATACTATCAGGTTTGGAAACCTCTGCCTGCATTTTTCTGATGACTCTTACCATTCTCTCTTTTCTCCTGTCTATAAAGGTTATTGGGCTGGGGATATAGCTCAGTGGCACAGTGCCTGCCTGGCAAGAGCAAGGTCCTGGGTTCAATTCCCGGTACCAAAAATAAAAAATATAAAGGTAGCCACTAACTTGACTTTGAGAACAGAGATGAATTTTATGTACATTTTTCTTTTTGTAAGTAGAATCATACAGAATATAATTTTTTTGTGTCTGACTTCTCTTCCTCAGTGTTAGGTTTTGTGATTCATCCATAATAGTGTTCCTGTCCAGGCCTGGTGGTGCATGCCTGTAATCCCAGCACTTTGGAGGCTGAGGCAGGAGCATCACCATGAGTTTGAGGCCAGCTTGAACTTACATAGCAAGACTCTACAAAAAAACAAAAAACCAAAACCAAAACAACCCCACAAAAAACATAATAGGGTTCCTAGTTCATTTATACATTCTCTTTGCTTTGTAATTTTCTACCATGTCTGGTTAGCCATGATTCTAGGTTGTACCTGATATTTGAAAATAAATTTATAGGAAAAATCTGAGCCCAAGAGGTGGTGTCATATTCTAGAGATGACTTTGTTTCTCTCTGGCCCCTGGAAGTTGGAAAGTATATTAGTAGAAGACTATGTTTTTAAAAAATTTTAATTTATTATTATTTTTTTATGATACAGGGTCTTGCTGGAGATATAGCTCAGCGGCATAAGCACCTGCCTGGCAAGCGTAAGGTCCTGAGTTCAATTCCCAGTACCAAAACCAAACAAACACACAAACAAAAAAACCAAATTTAATGAGACAGGGTCTTGCTATGCAGTTCAGGCTGGTCTTGAGTTCACTTTGTAGCCCAGGCTGGTCTCGAACTCGAACTTGCAGCGATCCTTCTGGCTCATTGTCCCAGTGCTGGGATTACAGGCATGCGACACCATGCCCAGCAAAGACTACTTTTTTAAAAAATTAATTTATTTTTTGCAGTACCAGGGATTAAACCCAAGGCCATCATATTAAGCTACATCCCCAACCCCTTTTTATTTTTTATTTTGAGATAGGGTCTTGCTAAGTCCCTAATATGTGCAGGCTCTGATCCGAACTTTAGATCCTCTTGACTCAGCCTCCCAGAGTGCTGGGATCACAGGTGGGTACCACCGCCATGCCTGGCAGGAACGACTTAAAGTTTAAGGACTGAGTTGTTGTTAGGCCATGTTGATGGATGATACAAAGCTGGGCTGTTTTGCTTTTACCACTACTTATATCCTTACCTTGAAAATGTAGTCTTTGGGGTCTTATTTTAAAGTGGGGGTATTATCAGAGTCCCCATCTCTGAGGGACCCTGGGCTTTGACTGCCACCCTGCCCCCCAGTCAAAGTCCAGAAGGTTGGCAGAACAGTCTCTGGCCAAGCCTACCGGGCCAGTGGGTCTGAGTGCTGAATGCCAGTCAGGCTTGTGGGAGGTGCCGTGACTGCCTGTGGTGTTGTCTTACCCTGCGGGCCCACCCTGGGTTGAGGATGAACAGGGTCCCCAGCCACATCAGGGCTTCCTACTCTGTTGTTGTTTTCATTCTAGCCTCATTCAGTGGTTTGAGACAGCACCGAGTCGGACCTGCCCACAATGCCGAATCCAGGTAAGAGCACTGGGCTCACCTCAGCTGGGCGTTTCCCCCTTGCCATAAAGCACAAATGTGGGAAGATCTCTGAAAATGAACAGAACCTCTGACCCTTTTTCATTCCTTGTTTGAGACAGTTTGAGCCTCACATGTACCATTGAGTTGCTTGAGATGTCTGCTTACACCCAGAGGTAGCTGGCAGCTAGACCTGTTGCCCAGGCTGGTCTCCGCCTAGGTATATCTGGCCTCCGTTCCGGCCTAGAAAATGCCCCCGCTTGTGGAATGGAGGCATCTTTTGAGCACACGTCGCATACATCTGCAGCAGCGTGACTTTAGCAACCACACCAGCAGTTCCAGCTTGGGGAAGTTGCGGGGATGAGGAGGACTTCTGAGTCCCAATGAAGTACTACAAAAAGTTAGGCCTAAGAGCAGACCTACTATGCATATTGGCAGGCACTGGACCCTTGTATACCATTCTTTCTCGCCCAGGACCCTTTATATTTATTTATTTATGGTTCTGGTCTTTCTGAGACAGGGTCTCACTGTGCAGTTCAGGCTGGCCTTGAATTCACTTTGTAGCCCAGGCTGGTCTTGAACTCCCAGTGATCCTCCTGCCCCAGCCTCCTGAGTGCTGGGATTACAGGCGTGCACCACCATGCCCAGTAAGCAATCACACTTTTATCTTGTCCTCCCATCCAGGTTGGTAAAAGAACCATTATCAATAAGCTCTTCTTTGACCTGGCCCAGGAGGAGGAGGCTACCCTGGATGCGGAATTCTTAAAGGTACCCAGATTTTTTGATCTTGTTCTGCTGAATTCTAGAGCCTCTGGGAGCTCAGTTTCCCCTTCTCCACAGAGCGGCCTGGAGCGCGGAGATGGGTTATGGAGGGAGGACTTGGTAGACATTGCAGGGCAGGGGTGAGGAGAGTGGAGGACAGGTGAAGATGAGATGCAGTCAGCAGAGAAATATTCTAAAGGGGAAAGGGGGCCACTCGACTGTGACCTTCCTTTAAGATTTTGGAGCAGTTCTGACTGAAGGACAGAGTGACGCCCCAAGGTTGCCCTATTTTATGAAGGATCATTGCCTTCCAGCTTAGCCCATTTTGCTGCTGGGCGGTTAGTGACAGGCTTACTCCCCAGGCAATAAAGCTGTGTGGACCCACTGTTCCCTACCCGGCAGTGCACCTGACTTGCCCGGGGAACTTGGTCTGTAGTCAGATGCCTGAGTCCCCCCAGACCCGTAATAGAGGACAGAACCCCTGGAATCAAGGTTTCCCCGGGGGAAGCCCACACTGCAGGCAAGGATGAGCAGGTTCCTTCCTGCGTATCTACTGTATCTTCTCTATAATTTTCCTGCTTTTTTTTTTTAACTGAGAGGGCTGAATTGGCAGAAAGCTCTTCAGGCAGTTAGTTGGATTGGGGCTCACAAGTGATCCCTGGACTCAGAGCTAATTGCTGGACATCTGTCGGATCAAAGTTCACTGGCCGTGGCCCCAGGTGTCCTGCTGTCCTTGCAATCTCACTGCTTCAGTGTTTTGTGTTTTGAGCCCGCGTGTTTTTGTCCTAGTAACCGCTTCCAGTTTTAAGTGATGTTCTCCCTCTGATAAAGGCAACAAAGGCAGCTTCATTTCTTTTGAAACCAGGTCTGTGAGACAGGGAGGCAGCATCATGAGTTGTTTGGGGCAGGAGCCTGGGAGACACGCACTGGGGTGTGGGAGGGGTGGGGGCCGTGTGTAGTGGTGCAGCAGCCGTGGGCTGGTGTGTGTTCTCAGGTAGATCCTGCATGTCCTTTCCCCCCCAGCACTTCCGTTGCCAACTGTTTAGCTCGTACTGACCAGCTCCGCTCCAGACGCCCCTGGCCCCAGAGTCCTGGGGGAGAGTTTAACAGCAGGGCTTACCCAGCCACTAGGCCATAGTTTGGGGTCACATGTGAAATTCTGAGTATCGTGTTGAGCTTGGAAGGGTGATCTAGAGGAAGGTTTGCCTGGATTCTGTCCAGCTAACTTTATGGACCCTTGATCAAGTGTTTTACTTCTGCAAAACCTTGGTTTTCCTGGTGTGGAGTAGGCACCTCTCTTGCCCAGAGCTGTAAGTTCTCTGGACTCCCACATGGGAGCCGCATTCACTTCTGCCCTCGCCTCTCAGTAGTGTGGCAGTGACTCTGGAGCATACTCAAAGGCTTTGAGGGGCTCGCCTGCCCTCACCACAGACTGGTCAGAACCCGGCACATGTGAAGTTTCATCCAGGGGGTACAAAGCTGCCCTGCTTACCAATCCTAATAGGGTTCTGGGCCTAGAAGGTTTGTGGTACACAGAGCCAGCTTAGAGCTTGGAGAAAGGTACACTCTGAATCAAGGAGGGTGGCCCAAAGCCCTCAGTCACCTTGCTCTGTGTCCCAAGTGCGCACAGCTGACTCCCACAGAGGGTGAGGCTCGTGCAGGCCAGGGCGGCAATGGAAGCTTCCGCTGTCGGGACTGATTCACAGACCCAGCCTCACTTCCCTTTCCCTCTTCTACCCCTTTCCCTGTCCCAGGACGTTGCTGCTGAGATTAGTTTCCTCTATCTTACCTTTGTCTGTATTCTTTATTTTGTGGTACTAGGGCTTGAACCCAGGGCCCTTGCATTGAGCTACATCCCCACGCACTACCTCCTTTGTTTGTTTTGAGATAGTCACTAAGTTGCCCAAGGCCCAAACTTTTGATCTTCCTGTCTCAGCCTCCCAGAGTGCTGAGATTAGGAGTGTGCACCACCATACCTGGCTCTACCTACATCTTAAAAAGGCATATAGAGGTAAAACGATGCTGTGTCTTCACTGTCGGCTTAGCTTGGGCTTTAGGTATGTTGGGCTGCATTCTTCCCTGCAGTCCTATTGGCCCCTCCTGGAGCTCCTCACAGCCTGCAGGAGGCCATGTGGAGGCAGTCCTGATGCATTCCTTTCACTTACTGTGGGTATTGTCTTGCAGAATGAACTGGACAGTATCAGAGCCCAGCTTTTCCAGAAAGGTGAGTTAGCAAGAACAGGGCCCACGGGAGCCCCTTGTTGGATGCTGGGGAAGGGGCCCCAGAAAGAGGGCTTCTAACCTTCTGGCAGCGCCAACGGTCGCCCCCGCTTTATATGTCCATGAGTTCTGCTAGCTCTTGTGACTGCCAGAAGCGGAGAGGAGAGGGTGTGATCGGTGCTGTCTGCCTGGGCCAGGTGAGCCTCCTCTCTGTGCCGGGCTTCTGGCCAGGACCTAGGCTGCAAGAGGCTACTGGTGGGACAGAGTACCTGCAGGAAAGACTCAGCTGCTGAGTTTGACAGGAACCTGCTTAACTTCTAGAATAATGAAGGGAGGGAGAACAGTGAAATCTTCTCAAGCAGTTGTTCAAGCAACAGAAAGAGGGCTTGGTTCTGGCTGTGGCTTCAGCTCCGAGTTGGTGCACGCCAGGGAGAGAAGTAGGCCGCCGAACTTCATGGCCAGAGCCTAAAACTTACCTGGCTCAGGGATGAGGAGCTGGAACTCAGGTGCCCATCTGATGGGCAGATGGGCCTAATCTTTCATCCACCCACCCTGTTCCAGAGAAGGAGAAGCGGGACAGCCAGGTCATCATCGACGCTCTACGGGGCACGCTGGAGGAGCGCAATGCCACTGTGGAATCTCTGCAGAGGGCCTTAGGCAAGGCAGATATGCTCAGCGCCACACTCAAAGTAGGTCCCCCGTTCCGCAGGCACGGACTTGGCGGGGAAGCGGAGCCTCAGCCCTGGGCTCACAAGCTGGGCTTGCTTCTGGTTCTGCCTCAGCCAAGCCTTGGATTGTGCGGTTGTGCAGTGGAAGCAATGACTGCTTCCCCACGCTGTCCTATCCTGTGCCCGTCTGACCTACAAGAAAGAGTCACGTTGGCTGTGCTTGGAGAAGTGCACCCTTCCCAGCACATCACAGAGGGGTGTTCAATTAAGCCCTTGGTGAGGCTGGGCCGTGTTTCCAAAAGTGGCTCATACTCCACGATGATGCCAGCCTGAAGAGCCTTCCATTAGCACTCAGTCTAGGCTGCTCTCTGGAGCAGGATCAAACAGAATCCCAGGGAAGAGCAAGGGCCTTTGAAGTTGCCTGCGCTGAGCTGACCACGCAGATCAAAGCCTGTCAGCGAGCAGCCTAGACCCAGATGAATTTTGTATCAGCCTGGCTTGGTGAGCCTCTTGCTCTCTGAGGGGCAGGAGGTGATTGATCTGAACCCACGATTGATATTCTGGCCTTGTAGGCAGAGCAGTCCTTGCTGGATGCCATTTGAAAGGGAAAAGGAGCCGTCTTTGTGAACAGGCAAGGCCCCAGGATGTTCATGCGCTCCGGTGCTGCTCGGGGGCTGGGCTAGACCCCATGGCCTGGCCTGTAGGGGGGAGCTAACTTGCACCCGGCTACAGAGCATTAGTCTCTGATGGCATCCCCAGGGCAGAGACGGAGTGGCCTCCTGCTGAGGACATCCTGGCTAGCTGTTCCTGGCTCCGTCTCCTATGCTGGCACCTGTCTGTGGGTCTGGTTGGTGATGCTGAGGCCTGGGTTTGTCCTCTGGACTTCTTCAGCTACCTGTACAACGCGCACCATGAGGCCCGGACCACGGCACCTTGGCAGCGCACAGTGGCCCTGGCAGTGGACTGTGCTGTGGTAAGGTGTATCTCAGAGGAAGCAGGCGTGGACATGAAGCAGCAGCCAGCCTACGGCCTCTTAGCAAAAAAAGCACAGGCCCGAGTGGGGGCCATGTATTATCCAGGGATTTGGAGAGCTATAGTTATCAGCATTTTCAGAAGGCAGCACAGATAGTGCTAAAGCGTCCTACTCCCACCGACTTCAGCCATGGCTCCTGGTGACTTCCGAGCAACGCGTATGGTTGTGTTTGCTCCTCAGAAGCAGATGAAATACTTGGAGCAGCAGCAGGATGAGACTAAGCAAGCACGGGAGGAGGCCCGCCAACTCAGGAACAAGATGAAGACCATGGAGCGGTGAGTGTGGAGCCGGTACCTGGACTGCGTATTTCTGCTCGTGGCCCTCGGGTGGGATGGGTTCGGGACTGCACCAGGGAGTGGAGAGTTCAGGCAGCCACGTATAGGCAAAGTCTCCTTGCTTTGTCTACGTGGACCCCTCTATTTTCCGTGGGGGAGGGTGCCATACTCCCTCCTCCCCCATTGCCTATACCAAGATCTTTCCCGACAGATCTTTCCCTCCAGGAGCCGCTCTACAAGAAATCCCTGACCTTGAGGTCCTCTGTCAGCACCTCTTCTGCATCAGCAGCATCCCTGGAGCTGCACTCAGCTCTGCTGTGGAGCCTTTCCTTGGGCACACCCACTTGCTAAAGCATCCTAGCAGCTCAGGCTGTTGCTATAGCAATGGCAGCAAAGGGAAGCAGACTAACCGTCAGCCTCCAGATTTCAAATGCCGTGGGCCGGGTGTTTTTCAGGATTGAGCTCCTACTCCAGAGCCAGCGGCCTGAGGTAGAGGAAATGATTCGAGACATGGGTGTGGGACAGTCCGCGGTGGAACAGCTGGCCGTGTACTGTGTATCTCTCAAGAAGTACGTACTCTGGGCTCTCAGTGTGCACAGGAGCTCGGCCGTGAGACCCTAGCCATGGCTCTGCTGCCTGTCTCTTGTAAAGCAGAGTGAGTCAAGGGGCAAGCTCTGTAGCTGTGGTCCCTTTGCTTGACTCCCCCTCTTACCAGCTGTGTGATCTGGAGCTAGTTTCTTGGCCTCTGACCCTCACTTTCCTCATGCAGCTAGTAATAGGTATGCCTCATAGGGCTGCTGCAAGAACTGCAGTGAAGCCAGACATGGTGGGTCAGGCTTATAATCCCAGCACTTGGGAGGCTGAGACAGGAGGATCACTGCAAATTCTAGGCCAGGTTGGGCTACATAGTGAGTTCAAGGCCAGCCTGAACTACATAGTGAGATCCTGTTCCAAAAAAACAAACAAACAAACAAAAGAATTGCAGTGAATTATAAACGTGAATTCTACAGAGTGAAGTCTATAGAGTCAACGGAGCTCTTAAGTCCCTTCGTGGGGATCTGAGTTGTTTCCCATCGGCACTGTTACCGACCTTGCCTGACTTAGATCAGAAACTGCTCACATGCTTCACTATGGTGGTGTGAGGGTGGTGGGAAAGAGGCCACTTGGCTGACAGGTAGAGGGCCCAGGGTGCCTCCTGTAGGGACCAGGTGGTGTGGAGAGCCCTCTAGTGAGGCCAGAGCTTCCTGCACAGCCTGTGGAGTCGCACTGTCTGCAGGCCAGGCGGGGTCTGTGTAACCAGTTCCCGTTGCATTCCCTCCGCCGTGCCCCCTGGCCTCTGCTGGGCTCAGGTAGAAAGAGGAACCAGGCTGAGCTGAGACGGTGAGAGGCCTTGTGTTAGGCTGCTGCGGTGGCTGGGTCTGCCTGGCAAGATGTCATATTCTGACATCTCCTTCTGCGGCTACTTTGCAGAGAGTACGAAAACCTGAAAGAGGCGAGGAAGGCCTCGGGGGAGATGGCTGACAAGCTGCGGAAGGACTTGGTGCTCTCCAGAAACAAGGTACCTGCCCCAGGAGCAGAAGGCGGAGGAGGAAAGACAGTGCCTTTATCGTGTCCACCTGGGTCTTCTGAGCCAGGCCAGTGGGCCCGAGGGGATAGCTGAGTCCAAGCGGCTGGTGGGAGGCTACAGGGACTAGTTGCTGATCCTCACCGGGCATTGGCTCTTACCATATGCTTGTCCTCTTGGGGCAGCAGGTGATGGGGTAGCCCCCCAGTGGGGCACACTCACGGTCCTCTCAGCTGGCTGGGGAGCACAGGCCCCAAATACGACAGCTCAGTGGCCTACATGTAACACCAGGCTGGGCGTTGCTCCTAGGCCATCTGTTTTCACTTCTGAGACGATGTAGCCACAAGATACGGTGTCCAGAGAGCACCTCTCCTCCCAGGCAGTCCCACGCATGCATTGCCAGACTGAGGCCTAGCCCTGATGTCTGGGGTCTCCCCATCCCCTCGTTTCTTATGAATCCTAAGTTACCCTTACCATGAACTGGGTAGCAGCAGGCAGGGGAAGAGTATATGGCCATCATTTGGCTTGTCCTTTACTTACTCTACTTTTTTGTTGTTGCTGTTCTGTTTTGTTTGAGACAGGATCTCCCTGTGTAGTGTAGGTTGGTCTTGAACTCACTGTATAGCCTGGGCTGGCCTTGAACTCCTGGCAGTCTTCCTGCCTCAGCCTCTCAGTTGCTGGGATTACAGGTGAGTGCCACCACATCTAACTCTCCCTGTACTTTCTCGTAGTTGCAAACAGTCTACTCTGAGTTGGATGAGACCAGGCTGGAGCTAAGGTCAGCTCAGAAGGACTTACAGAATGCTGACAAGGAAATCACGGTGAGGGGTGTCCCTGGCTTGATGAGAATAAGGGGTGGTTTATGTGCCTCTAAGAGTAGGGCTTGGGTAGCTGATGTGGTGGCACATGCCTGCAATCCCAGGACTTAGGAGGCTGAGGCAGGAGGATTGGCACAAGTTTGAGGCCAACCTGGGCTACAAAGTAAGTTCAAGGCCAGCCTGAACTACGTGGGGAGACCCTGTCTCAAAGAAAAAAAGAAAAACGACAGAGTAGGGCTTGCCTTTTTCTGCCTGAGATCCTGTGTCCTGGTCAGTGGTGGATCTGGACTCCTAGAATCCTCCTGGGGCAATGGGTGGGTCAGAGTGTGCGCCTTGATCCTGGTCTGGTCTGCAGCCCCTGCCTTTTCTCACTGTGCTCTGCACCTACCTCCCACACGTAGGTGGTCACCCCAGAGAGGGGCTCTGCAGCCTGTGTTGGGGTTCAGGTCCTGTTCTGTTCCCGGCACGCTTCGCACACGCTGCTTCCCCTCTGCAGCGTGTCTGTACTCAGCCTTGCCCTCACTCCTCGTTTTCTGCCCCCAGAGCCTGAAGAAGAAGCTAACGATGTTACAGGAAACCTTGAACCTGCCACCGGTGGCCAGTGAGACTGTCAACCGCCTGGTGTTAGAGAGGTTTGTGGGCCTCTGGGGGAGGTGCAGGGTTGCGAGTAGGAGCTCCTCCAGAAGGGTCTCACTCCTGGCTTCAGTGCCCCGGGCGAACCAAGGTTGATCGACCTCCTGAGAGCTGGCCAAGCCTTGGCTGAGAGAAACCCTGAGACAACTCTGGGCTCCGGCAAGGAAAGGCCAGAGAGAAGCAAGGGTGGTGTGAGGCTGGGGCGGGAGCACGAGGGTCTCAGGGGGCCCTGTTGTGAAACCACTCATTCTAAAACAAGGCCCCTGGGTCCCAGGACGTCGAAGCTGCCAGCAGAGGGAGCCCGAGACAGGGCCAGGGCCCCTGCCAGGAGCGGGCCTCCATTCCTCCTCCCGGCGCTTCACAGAAAGTCGGGCTGAGAGCAGTCCTTGCTGCAGGAGCCCCTCGCCCCCCGAGAAGACTACTCATGGCCCCAGGGCTTTCTCTGAGACGTGTGTGTCTGTGTAAGAGAGATACTGGGGATTGAACCCGGGGCCTTCCCACTGAGCTACATCCCTGGCCCTTTTTTATTTTATTTTATATATTTTACTTTCTTGAGACAGGGTCTCACCATGTAGTTCAGGGCCCCGCTGTGAACTTGCTATATAGCCCAGGCTGGTCTCAAACTCACAGCAGTTCTCCTCCCTCGACCTCCCAAGGGTGATTACAGGTGTGCACTAGCACGCCCAGCCCCAGCCCTTTAAAAAAAAAGAAAAGGTTTTGAGACAGGGTCTTGCTGAATCCCTGAGTTGCCCGGACTAGGCTCAACCTGGCATCCTTCCTCAGCCTCCCAGACTGCTGGGATTACAGGGTGCACCACCATGCCCTGGCTGAGCTACCTCTTCCTGTCTTTTGGCAACTCCACGGGTCCCCTCTTCCTCACATCCAAACAGTTTCTGGCGCCTGCCCATCTCACCAACCCGTGTGGCACTTCCTTGCCCTCCGCCTCGTACCACCCCTGTAAGGCTGGTGACCCAGGAGCCTGCTCCTCCTGTCTGCCCAGCCCGTCAGCACCAGGGCAGTTCCTCCAGCTCTGCGCGTCATGCCCTGCTATACGCACAGGCGCACACACGCGCGCGCACTCACACACACAAACACACACACCTCCCAGAACCCTTGGTACCATGCCTCAGGGTGCTCATGGAACCAGGCAAATTGTACCATCCACCGGAGGAGAACATTCCTTCCCTTCCTGCTTCTGCCTTTGTCTTGGGCTTCTCCACACCAAAGGTTCCACTCAAAGTTCCTGCTTCTGCCTTGTGCCCATGATACAACTGTTGTATGTTGCCTATAGCTCTGAAGAAGTCTTCAGCTTTCCCAACGTATCACAATGAATTAGCTTTTTATTTTTTGTAGACAGGGTCTTACTATGTAGCACAGGCTGGCCTTGACCTCACTTATGTAGCCCAGGCTGGCCTGAAACTCACAGCAATTCTTCTGCCTCAGCCTCCCAAGTGCTGAGATTACAGGTATGCGCCACCCCTTCCAGCTGGATTGGCATATTTCTTAAACCAGCTTGTAGACCTGAAGGACTAGTCCAAGCAAAGAGGATGGCAAATGCTAAGGCCATGCCAAGCATGGTAGCACACGTCTGTAATCCTAGGACTCAGGAGGCTGAGGCAGGAGGATTGCCGCAAGTTCAAGGCCAACCTAGACTATGTAGTGAATTTAAGGCCACCCTGAGTTGCATAGCAAGAGCCTGTCTCAAAACAAAACAGAAGCAAACAAAAATGCAAAGGCCCGTAGCATGACTGAGCTGGGTGTGCTTATGCAGAGGAGCTGGTGGCAGGTGGCCGAAGCTCTTTTCAAGTCAGACTTGCGGCATTGGTTTTTCTTTTGTAGACAATGGAAACCACTGGGGTTGCTTGGGGGAGATTGCTGTGAGGGGCTGGCGTGTGCCTGATCCTTCTTCCATCAGTCACTGATGGTTGCGCATGGATTTCAGCCCCAGGGTACCAGTCACCAGCCTGGTGGCTGCCCACCTAGACTTCTGCTTCAGTGCAAGTGAAGACCCCATGAACCCGGGGATGGTGCTGCGTGCCTGTAGTTCCAACACCTGGACAGTCGAGGCAGGAGGATCTCTTAGGTCCAAGAGTTTGAATCCAGCCTGGGCATAGTGAGAACCTGTTTCAAGAAAAATAAAAAATGAAAAACAGATACCATGAGACCCCATGAGGGTACTTTCAGGGCTTTGACTTACGTGTCTTGATACTTTGGTAAATCTGTAATTTAAAATGCTCCTTGAAATGCATTGGAAATGTATTCAGGTTAGTTCACAGAGGTCCAAGTTATTCCTCTTGGCATCTAAGGAATTTGTAAGAATTTTTTTTTTCACTGCTGCATACTGAACCCGTGTCTTCTTGCATGCTAGGCAAAGGGTCTACCACAGGGTCACAGTCTTAGCCCAAGAAAATTTTTTTTCTTTTTTGTGGTACTGGAGATCAGACCCAGGAGTGCTATACCACTAAGCTACACTTCCAGCCCTTTTAATTTTTCATTTTGAGACAAGGTCCTGCTAAATTGCTCTGGCTGACCTCAAACTTGCTATCCTCTCCCTTCACCCTCCCAGATACCAGTGGCTAGGATTACAGGCATGTGCCACCACACCTGGAAAAAATTTATTTAAGACTTCTGAGGGAATGCTAGGCTTGGTGGCATACACCCGTCACTCTAGCATTTGGGAGGCTGAGACAGGAGGATCACCATGAGTTTGAGGCCAGCCTGGACTACACAGTGAAACCCTGTCTCAAGAAAAACACAAACAAAAGGTGAGAAGGAAAGAAAGTAGACTATTAGCAGGAAGGGAAACAGGCTCACGAAGGAGGAAGAATGTACCAGAACGGTTTGTAGTTAACTGTCATGGAGGGCCAGGGATATAGCTAGGGGCACAATGCCTGCCTGGCAAGCACAGGGTCCTGAGTTCGATTCCCGGTAGCCAAAACAAACAAAAAGCAAAGAAAACTGTCATGGGTCAGGGAAGCACCGCCCTCCCCATAGTCGAATGCAGCGTCTCTCACCGCTTGCACAGCAGTCTGAGAAGCGAAGCTGCGTGGTCGAAGCACAGCGGTCTTTGCTTGCTGGCTTGGGTTCCGCCTCCTCCCGTCTTCCTGATAATCGCTGTCCCATGTCAGCGAAGGGCTGAACGGAGCCAGAATGGGCTCTGGGCCGCGAGCCTGAGCTGCTCCTGTCCTTGCGGGGCTGTGCTCCCTCTGAGCTGCACTGTGGTCCCCTCTGCCTTCAGCCCGGCCCCCGCGGAGATGTTAAACCCGAAGCTCGGCCGGCCGTCCTCCCACATCATCGACCTTGATGCTACCTTCGACGTGGATACCCCTCCCTCCCAGCCCTCGGGCTCCCGGCACGGCTGCGCCAAGAGGCTCTGCCTGGAGGAGACACCGTGAGTGACAGTCCCGGCAGTGTCTGCCACTGGAGGGGGATGGCTGAGGCAGCTGCACAGGTCCTGCCCGGTGGCTGCGAGTGGCTGATGGGACAGTGAGGGCTGCCTGGACTTGGCCATTGCTTCGTTCCCCCCTCTTCTTCCCGAGCCTGAGAACTCAAGTCTGCGCAGAGCCTTTCTCTTGCTTATCTCAGTCTTCATCATCACCCTTCAAGGTGACACACTGGGTAGTGATTTAGAATGCGGGGGTCCCGGCAGGGACAGCTCCGGGCTGGCAGGTTGGGCTCAAGTGCTTCCAACAGCTTGAATGCCTGCCCACCAGTCTTGAGCCAGGGACTCTAAACTTCCTCTGCCATCGTGCACCTCTGAGGCTCACGCTTGAGGCAGGGCTATTTCCAGCTGTGCAGCCCAGGGCCCCACCGCGCAGGGGCGTAGCCAGAAGAGCTCTGGAGCTGAGGGGCAGGTAGGACCTGCACTAGGGCACAGCGGGGCTAGGGAAGGAAGGCAGTCTCTAGGCGGGGCACTGCAGGTGTGATTCCTCCTGGAGACGGGGTTACACCCTTCGTACGTGCAGGGGTGTGCTGTCCAGGTTAGGGGAATCTGGGGCCCATAAAGGTTCTTCTTAACTTAAGATTGGGCATGAGAGAAGGAAGTGGAGATACTGGACAACGGAGGCCGAAGCAGGCAAGCCACCACTTGCCACCGTCAGGCGTGAACGTTCATGCCGTACTGCTCGGGCCTGGGAATGATGAGACCGAGTCCAGGGCCTGTGGGCTTCTGACAGGGCACCCCTCAGGGCCTGCTCTGTACCCTGGCTTCCACCATTGCCTCCTCTTCAGCTGTTAAGGTTGAAGGTGGGTACCAGGGTCTTCAGGCTGCCAAGCCTTTTAGAGAGACGTCTGCCATCTTCAGGGCCTGTAGGGAGAGGGAGGGAGCAGAGAACACTCCTGAGCCGCTCAGCCTCCGCAGAGCTGGACTCGTAGCACGGAGAGTCTTTCCAGGGCTGTTGCACGGCCTCATCGCAAGCGAAGGAGGCAGACGAGGAGTCCAGAGCCGACAGGCCTCTGGACTTGTGGCTTGGAAGGAAACAGGGTCAGCCATGGCTCGACATCTTCCCACTCCCCTGGAGAAATACCAGGAGAGGGTATCTGGCTGCCAGGGTACCCAGGAATTAGATGGAAACAGTGCCAGGTCTGGGGCTGGAAGGAGGAAGCCAGGCCTGGGCCCATCTCAGGCCCTCCCTGCACACATTCTGTGGAGTGATGGACCGACCCTGTGTCCTGCGAGCACTCTGGACTACCTTACTAGGTGGCGGACTCCCTGAGGGTCCTGTGGAGGCGGTGCCCCACCTCTGTGCAGGCAGGGCTGGGCCTGAGCTCACTGGATGGATGCCTTCTGACTGTTAGGGCACGACTGCACTCCTCCTGGGGGTGATGAACTGCTCAGGTTCCCCGGCCCCACGTAGAGCCTGGAGCTTGAGGAGGTGCCCGAGGCCTTGGCGGGGGCGCTGCAGTGCAGCCGCAGGACTGGGACATGCCGGCCTACCCTGACTCAGCCCCTGTTCCGTCCGGCTGTTCACAGACCTGTACCCAGGGTGGGTGCCACTGAAACATTTCCCGGAGGCACCTGTCCCAGCACACAGCTGTGACAGCAGCCATGCCACGTGGCGGCTCCCTTGTGGACACGTGCTGGTCCTCGTGTTTTGCTTACCAGTCGCTGCCTTTGCGTTTCACCCTTTAGCTCTCTTGTTCAAGACGTCCTCAGGAAAAAGCCCAGAGTTCCTAAACAGGTAAGGGCCTCCCAGGAGGAAGTGAAGTAGTCACCATCCAACCCTGGGCGGGCGGCGTTTCATCAGAGCCCTCTCTCTGGGCCCGGGACTGAGGCACTTTCGAGCCGCCCCTGCAGGCCTGTTTGTTGTCTTTCCTGCCTCCTGGTGAGGCAGCAGAGACCTGACCTTGTTCCGCCACCACTGCCCTCCCTGCTGTGCTTCCACCTGGGTCTGCAAGTCCGGCCCTGGGCTTTCCCCCGCAGGAGTCGCCGCGCCCTCCGGGTGGCCGGCGCTGTGTGGAAGAGCCAGATGAAGAACTGGCTGGTGCCTTTCCTTTCTTCATCCGGAGGGCTGTCTTGGGCCAGAAGCAGCCCACGAGAGGCAAAGCGGGGTCCTGCAGCAGCACCGATGTGGTAGGTTCCCCCGACAGACAGGTTCCAGCCAGCTCAAAGTGGGCAGCTCCCGGCCCCTCAGCCTGCTCGGCTCATCTCTTCCTTCTGCCCTAGGTGAGAACAGGCTTCGATGGCCTGGGGGGACGGACAAAATTCATCCAGCCTGTATCCTTGTTCTGTTGCAGTGGGCCAGTCTGAGCTGTAGAGCCCACCCCACGCACCCCAAGCCCCCAGACTACTAATGCAGCCTCAGGCATGTAGCGCCGGGCCTTGTGCAGTGGGGTAGCGCTGTCCGCGCCGGGTCTGCGCTCCAGTCCCCGCTCCAGGCCTCTTCCTTAATGCTGCCTCCAGACCGACACAGCCGTGATCCGCCCACTACCAGTCAAGGCCAAGGCCAAGACTAAGCAGAGAGTGAGGGTAAAGGCTGTGCCCCCTCCCTCTCAGACCAAGCTGGACGCCTTCCTGTGGTAACGCGAACAGTCTGAGCGGCGGCCAGATGTGCCTGCGGTGAGCAGACAAGCACCGGCCAGGCCAGGGATCTTTTAGGGGACGGCCTCCTTCAGGACCAGCCCGGAGCAAGGAAACGAGCGGACAGAGCGGCAGATGACACCAAGAGACTACTTCCTGGCCCGCCGTTCAGTTCCACCTGGCTCTTTGTCTCAAGCTCCTGTCTGTAGCATTGATCAGCTGGCTGGGTTCCTTCTGTCCTGGAGACAAGGGTCCCTGGCCGATTGTGTGTATGGACAATAGTGCTTAGGTTTCGCAGGCAACCTAGCCAGAGCTTCATCCCGCCCCGGCTTAATACGGGGCATGGTCTGGGCCCAGCAGAGTGGGGGATAGAGGTGATGGTGGGGTGAGGATGGGGGAAAATTCCCAAGTTAAGTAACAATAGATGGACTTTTCTTCCTGGCTCTGGGAATATAAATTTTGCATTGAGATTTTGGAAAACTGCTTGGGACGACTTTCTAAAGCAGGAGCATCGCCTAGACTCAGACCCCGCAGTTTCATCCCTAGGCCTGGGAACTCTCATAGGCCACGAAAGACTACCAAGAATGAGATCGCTGGCTGGGCATGGTGGTGCATGCCTGTAATCCCGCACTTGAGAGGCTGAGGCAGGAGGATCCCTGTGAGTTCAAGGCCAGTTTGGGTTACAAAGTGAGTTCAAAGCCAGCCTGAACTGCATAGTGAAACTCTGTCTCAAAAAAAACCGAAAAAACAAAAAAAAGAATGAGATCACTGCAGTTTTGCCCAGTCTCTAACCAGGGCACGTCCCATAAGCCACGAGGAAAGTGGATAGGTAAAAATTTGCCCATATAGGGCACTTACAGCAAGCACAGCAAATTACCAGTGGTCTGATTTTGAGGCTTTGGGTCCTGCCTTCAGGGGCACTTTCTCTCAGAGTACTTCCCTGCTTGACCCCGAGCCTGGCTGGGACGCCCTAAACCTCCCTCTCCTATTGAACAGGAGTTTACCTGGGGCCCGAGGGCTGACACAGGTGAGAGGCACTGGGAGTGAATGCTTCAGGCTGAAGGTACCCAGCTACTGTCCAGCAAATCTAGAGAAAGCGGTGGGGTGGGGAGTAGAAAGGAGGTGACGCTCTTAGTTATGCGTGCTAGGTGCTCTGGGGCTGACACGAGCCGAGGTGTAGTGAGGGCCAGTGCAGCGTCAGGTGAAAGCAGAGGAAGCTGCTAGCACCCTCTTCTCCTGTTGTAAATTTCCTGGAGTCTATGCTCCGCTTTATAAAATGGGGATGGAGCCGGGAGTGGTGGCTTATGCCTATAATCCCAGCACTGGGGAGGCTGAGGCAGGAGGATCGTTGTGCGTTCAAGGCCAGCCTGAACTACATAGCAAGACACTGTCTCAAAAAAAAAAAGGGCCAGGAAGATAGCTCCGCAGCACAGTGCCTGCCTGGCAAGCTCAATGTCCTGAGTTCAATTCCCAGTACAAAAAATAAATAACTAAAATGGGAATGAGAGTACCAGTTTCACCGGAGTGGGGATCTAATGAATGAGGATGTTGGCTAAGAAGTTACGACAACTAAATGAAATAGACCAGATACAAAAGGACTACTGTACGATGCTACTTATATGAAGTAGCTAGAATGGGCAAGTTCATAGAGACAAAGAAAATAGAAGATACCAAGGACTAGAAAGGGGGGAAATTGGGGAGTTACTGCTTAATGGTAGGAGTTTCTATTTGGGATAATGAAAAAGCTTTACAAATAAGAGATGATGATTACCCTCCCCTGCAAAAAAATCCCAAAACTTAAGACAAATTTAAACCAAATATATGACAATGTTACCGATCAGCCTGAGGTTCTTCGGCTAGATTTGGGTGGAAATCATGAATCACAAAGCATAGCTAGCAGTCCTGATGTCGCCAGTGACCAGCTACGGTGGATGCCGTCGGTTGGCGCGGCCAGCTGCTGGTCTCCGCTGCTGCTGGTCTCCGCTGCTGCTGGTAGCGGGTCAGTTCTACCCGTTGCTGGTCTCTGCTGCTGCTCTTTGTTGTCTGCTGCTCTCTAGAGCTCTTTGGTTCTAACAGCTCTGAGTGTTTATTCTTCTTTCTTTGAAAACTAACTGCTTAGCACATACTACCTGAGAGATGAGTCATGGGCAGGTTTACTGGGACAGCGAAGTGAATGCTTCTTTTACTTTGCGGCAATACACTGGGGCTGGTACCTAGGAGCAAGCCCTCCTAGCCTAAAGCCAAAAAGTACGTGGAAAGTGCTATTTATGTCACACCTGCCAGCCTGTTTCAGTGAGGGTGAGGGCTGAAGCTAGGGAATCTTCTGGAAGGCTTCATGTGAACATTGGATATGCAAATAAGGATCCCAGATCCCTCCCTTTCTGACTGTAGCCATTCCAAGATGCTTTTTCCTTCAAAACTCTAATAGTATAGCCGGACATTGTGGCACACACCTGTAATCCCAGCACTTGGGAGGCTGAGGCAGGAGACCCTGGGCTAGATAGTAAGTTCAAGGCCAGCCTGAACTATATAGCAAGACCCTGTCTTTACAAAACACTGCTAACAGTATGGTCTGAAGTGGTGGAAGTAGGTCACGGGTGCGACACTGCCTCCTGGCTGCACTCATGTTGGAGAATGGTGATTTGATACCAGGGAGGACACTGAGGCAAACTGGCCCAGTCTTTTGGGGTCGAAGGGGAAGGAAAGGAAAGTGAGGGGCAGGGCAGACCGCTGCTGGCCGAGCCACATCCCCACTCTGGCTGACACAGGCTAAAATGAGACTCAGGTGCTTCTTGCCTGTCTCAGAAAGACATCTTATGTTTTTGGATTTGAAGAATTAATTTAATCTTTTTTTTTAATTTTAAGACAATGTTTCCTTAAGTTCCAAGGCTGGCCTTAAACTTGTGCTGCTTCTGCCTCAACCTCCTAAGTAGGTGCTGAGATTGGAGGATAGGGCGTGGCTTAGACTGGCCGGGAAGGGAGGTGTGATCAGATCCCAGGACACACGTGGCAAAGAATTCTCAAGACCCCAAATACAGCCTGCTCACGAGAACCCACGCTGTGTGGCAGGAGGAAAGGCGAGGACACCGTGGCACGTATGCTGCCCGACCTCCACTGGCGCAGTCCTCCCTCTGCCTCCAGGGTGTGCTTTTATATTTTTATTTTATTTTGATCTTTAGAATTTTTCCTCTGTCTTACTCAGCCCAGGCTTACTCTACAGAGCTAGTTCCTTTCACTTGCAGTTCTTCAAATAAATGTGAAACTTTGCCATCATTTTTGTTTGTTTCACTCAGTTCTTTGTTTGAAATGAAAAGAACCTGGAAACCACCTCCAGAAGGAGACTGCAGCCCTCCAAAGCTGGTAAGGCTGAGATTACAAGCCTGTGCCAGCACGCCCAGCTAGGATTAACGTCGTTGAGATGGCAGCACTCCCACAAATCGTCTATGAATTCAATACAACCCCTATCAAAATATCAAGAGCCTTTTCTTATAGAAATGAAAAGAGAGGTCCCAGATAGCTAAAACAATTAGAAAGGGAAAAGTTCTTCTCAAATTAAAAACTCACTACAAAGTGATGATGATCAAAACACCGTGGAGTGTGGTCATACATAATGGCGGGGTCCAAAGCTCTAGGGCAGTGACATGAACCTTTTAGAGATGAGGGCCCAAGCTGCAACCCCAAAGCCACTTAATTTATCACAAAGTGCCAACACTACAGTTAAACCCGAATACTGAGGTTTTAGTTTAGAAAAAAACAACTCATCCATTAATGTCTTTCATCTTAACACATACGCCAAAGATTCACTACCATCGAGCTGGGAAGATCAGTGATTATAATTAACTGGAGAACTCTGAACCCTGATCAGACATGTAACAGAGAATCCTAGGTAAAGGGACAGAATGTGGGTCAGTCAGCCACCATGGGGTAGCAGCTGACTCATGCTAGGACAGGCCCTGGGCACCTTGCCTTCCAAAACTTCGGGGTTGTACATTTCAGTGGGTCTGGCAATACCCTGAGATGTTTGCCTTGGTTTTAATATCTGTGCTCTACCCATCTCCATCTCTTAGAGGGTTAACAGTGCCTTTTTACCCCAGAGTCTTTATCAGGTCACCAAATAACTACAAAGGTAAAGAAAAACTTCAGCAGCCACATACAAGGGACATACACTTAGCGAAATGACTTATAAAATCACAACAGGTGGTGGCACACGCCTGTAGTCCCAGCACCTGGGAGGCTGAGGCAGGAGGATCACCATGAATTTGAGGCCAGCCTGAACTACATAGCAAGACCTTGTCTCAAA